TTTTTTTTGGGAGAATTTAAAGGTTATAAATTAAATGTAAAATTTGATAATAATATAATAAATATTGGTAAAGAAACTTTTTGAAGAATTATTAAAATTTTCAAAAACAAGCGAATTATCATTGAGAAATTAAAATAACAATGAATGAAATTATAAACAAAAGTAATATGGAAATTTTTGTAAATTGACTGCAACAATTATTGTGAGTCTGTATATATATGAGTCGTGTTTTTAAGATTTACGCGATACGATGACGGCTTTGTAGTTGAACGCGTCGTCCCACATATCTCAAAGTCTTCGTGTCCTGAACAAGAATCTTACTTTTACTTAGATCTCAAATTTATTGCGCCCGACTATTACGCTCAGTAAATCACCAAAGTTGGAGATGCCACTGAGAAAATTAGTCGGTTACTGTCATACTCATTGAGACATACGAGCTCTTTTTAAGATTAATAAGAAACAATCAAAATTTTCGTTCATTAAAATTCTGTTAATGTCACTTATACTTTTTAATTAGGACATAAGAACATTTTTTATTTCTTTTTACTATATTTGAAAAGAAAAATTATTACATAAATTTCAAATCATCATCAGAAAAGAAAAAATGTGTTTTCTTTAATTTATTTTTGTAATTTTAATTTTAATTAATTAATATTAATTTAAATTTAATTATAGGTTTAAATATTTATTTTTTAGGAAATTGAAAATATTTTTCATTATATTATCCTTCGGACTTCTTAATTAATCGGAACATATTTTATATATTTTTACATATAACCTCAAATTAAAAAATTATTTTGAACTGTTTTTAATGCAAATTTAAAGTTTAATAGAAATTAATTTCAATCAACTTTGGAAAATATAGTTATGCACTTTTCAGAAAAAATAATGTTGAGTCAAAATCTTGCGTCAAATAATTGAATTGTGAATTTCGAAAAGGACTCTCAACTCGAAAAAGCGAAATAAGTGTCATTTTCGCATAACAATTTATAGTAAACTAGCCCTTTTCGAAATTAACGATTCAATAATTTTTTTAACATTTTTATTTTTTTCTTTCAGCTCAGACAAAAATCGTAATAACTAAATATTATTTTTTTCTGAAATTTGTATAACTAAATTTTCTCCAAAATTGATTGAAATTAATGTTTATATGTTAAAAACAATTTTTTAGTTTTTGAGGTTATGTTACGGTCATCATACCCCTTAAGGCCAGGTGGAACTCGTCAAATGTAAACAAACATGAAAATGTACGTAATTATTGACAAATTTGCGACAGCATTTTTTTTAATAGAAAATAAAAATTGTTCTTTTTCTATGTGAAAATGGAAAATTCATATATAAAAGTACAGCCTGACACCGTATTTGACTAATAATATGAATAATATTAATAATCATAATAAAATGAAAATTACATTGAAACAACAATTTTCTCAAGGTTACGAAAAAAAAACCATTTGAGTATATCTGAGGCACGGACGTTGAGAACCTAGGTGGGAGAAAAAGTTGAGCGATTGGACGTTCACATCTTGGAAAGGGTAAAATTCTGAAATCATACCCCCACCAGAGGACAGAGACTAGGTCTTTTACCCCTTCCCACACTATTTCTCCCACCTAGTTTCTCAACGTCCGTGCCTCAGATATACTCAAATGGTTTTCGTAACCTAGAGAAAATTGTTGTTTCAGTGTAATTTTCATTTTATTATGATTATTAATATTATTCATATTATTAGTCAAATACGGTGTCAGGCTGTAGTTTTATATATGAATTTTCCATTTTCACATAGAAAAAGAACAATTTTTATTTTCTATTAAAAAAAGGGCTGTCGCAAATTTGTCAATAATTACGTAAATTGTCATGTTTGTTTACATTTGACGAGTTCTACCTGGCCTTAAAGGCCAACGCAGAATAGAAACGTAACCGTAATCGCAAACTGAAGAATGAGTTAGAGAAGGATAGTCATATATTGTTGTTCTTCTCTTACTAATTCTTCCGTTTGCGATTCCGGTTATGTTTCTATTGTGATTAGGCCTTAATTTTTTACATTTTTTATTACAAAAAAAAAATGACAGGAAGAATTTCAATGAATATGGTCGATAAATAGTACCGCTATTCATTCTATTTGAAAATTCTGCTTTTCTGATAAAAATATATATAACTTGGAATTTAATTTTAATCTAAATTTTATGAAAAATTATTTTTAAAAAATACATTGAAATGAGGTATCAAGGCTTCAAAACAACGTATGTTTACGACACCATGTTTGAATCTGATTTGTTGACATAAACTTCAAATTAACCTCTATTAGCAAAAATTCAAAGCAAAATATTTTGGAAAAGTTTTCTTGATCCATTTGTATAAATGGTTTTTTTTTTTTTGTTTTTTTTAACACATACTCCTGCGTGAAATAACGTTTTGCCACATTTCCATGGCAGAATTAGGAGTCGAGACAGATAAATAGTGGATGGAGAGTAGAAACATTGAGGGGGCGTGGAACTCGCAGGAAGTAATGGATCATGGAGTTCACGTGAACCTTACCGGCTATACGAAGAAGCTATACAAATGAATTGATAGCATAATTGGTTCAATCTTATAGATATTCTTATACGACTTATCCGCAAGTAATATCAAGCAACTCACTTCATAAACTTCAACGTCAAGAAGATAACTGATGAAGAACTAAAATATAACGTATATAAGGAGATATTATAATCTTCTCAGGTATTCATATATTCTTTTGAAACGAATATATGTGATATATGTGCATTGTGTGGAAAATAATAAAATTCATTAATATCTGAATTAATAAAAATTTCGGTTAGCTAAAATTTTGTGAAGAACTCAAAAATAGTATAATAATTCGTTGTCATGTGCCAGATTAGGGACAGTTGGGGTAAATGGGTACAAAATCGCTATTTTTCACAAATTACATAAGTTTCTTCCTTTAAAAGGTAATATTTGCGGGTTTATTTTTTTTAAGTTGTTATTTACGTTCCCAGGATTAATTTTATGCAGCAGAAAAAATTTTAGATAAGCTTTAAACGCATGAAACTGATTGTCCCCATTTACCCCAAAATTTAGAAAATTTCATAAAATTTGGGGTATATGGGGACAGCATAGTTTCTAAGAAAGTTTTAAGAAAAAAGTTTCCTCAAGTATATTACTGTATTGAGGGATGAAAAAATTTTAAAAAAAATTTGTAGTAGATATATAATAGTTTAACCAATTGAAATTTTTTTATTTTTTTTTATTTCAGTATTTTGTCTTGCATTTGAAAAAAACACTTAAAAATCATAAAATAGATTCTTAACAAATTCCATATTTAAATAGGAAATCATCAAAATCGTATTGTCGACATATTGAGTTTTCCTCAAATATGCAATTTTTTAAAAATAATTTTTTTTTGACAAAATATTAATAAATTTTGGCACATGACAACGAATCCTTATACTATTTTTGAGTTCTTCGAAAATTTTTAGCTTAATCTATCAAATATTTTGCGAGAAAACCTGCGGAGAATAATTACATGTGAAATCACAACAATCATATAACCTTAAAGGGAAAAATTAAAAAAAAAAAAAGAATCCGAGAAAAAATCGGAAAAGAAAAAATCAAAAAATATTTTGATGAAATAAAAGAAAATAATAGGTCAAAAAAATTGAAAGAAAAATGGAAAATTTTAGAAAGAAAACTTTTTAGAAAAGAAAAATTGGAAGAGAAAATTGATAAAAATAAAAAAACAGAAGAATTTTAAAAAATAAATGAAAATCATAAAAAAAGAAGAGATTGAAAGAAAAAGCAATAATTATTTTAGGAATTCAAAAAAAACGATAAATTTTTTAAAAATACCAAATTTTTTTTTAAAAATTAATTTTAATTAATTAATTAATTAATTTAATTAATAATTTAATTTAAAAATTTTTTTTTAATTAATTGACCAGAAATTTTTAGAAAATTAAGAAAGTTTTCTATTCCGTAATTTTTTTCTAACTAAAATAGAAAAAATAGAAAAAAATAGAAAAATAGTAGAATAATAATAATAATAATAATAATAAAAATTTTAATAGAAAAAATTATTGTTTTAATAAAACAAAATTTTGCGTTACGCTACAAGTTAATTATCTATTTACTAATTTTTTATTAAAAAAAAACTTTTAAATTAAATAACTTTCAAAACCCCCACAGCACCGAAACTTTCCTGAAAATTTAGTAAATATTTACTTGCAATATTTGGAATAATTAATTGCAATGTTTATTGAATGTTTTGTAAAGATTTAAATGTCCCACTTGAATAAATGTTTAGCGCGAAACTTTCCTGAAAATTTAATTTAAATATTCAGAAAAGTTTCATACTAAATATTTGTTTAATCGGGATATTTAAATCTTTACATAAAATTTTCACTAAACTTTGCAAATTAAATATTCCAAATATTGCAAGTAAATATTTACTAAATTTTCAGGAAAGTTTCGGTGCTGTGAGGGAAAATTTGAAGAAATTACAGAGTAACAACAAATAACCCAAAACAAAAACATTTTCTACTATAATTATTATGCTTTCAAAGTGTAAAAATAAAATCTTTATATAATGAGAAGAAAGGAGCTTTATTTTAAGTTACAACTTTTTTAAAACAGCTTTAATGCTCATAATTTAAGACAGTGCTTTTTAACTTAAATCTCAAAAAAGTCACGTGTTTTGTAAATTTATAAATATTTTATTTTCACACCATATTCAGTTTAAATTAAATACAAGTATTATATTTTTTACTTTCAAAGATTAATTTAATTTCAGACTAAAATCTCAAAATATTTTTTCGGTTAAAATTTTTAAAATAATTTGTATTCAGACAACTTCAAAACAGAGAATATATAATAATAAAAACTTGCCATTCTATAAAATCATAATATTATTCCTTCATTAAAATAAACTACAGTACAAATTGTTTGTTACAGCTATTTATTGTTATTCTGTAATTACATTTTTGAATAAACACATTAAACTCACCATAAGTTATATCTGGTTCAGGTGATGTTGAACAAATAATATCAGATTCTTCAAAATTACTTTCTTCTATAGCCGACATTGAAGAATCTGGTGTCACTGAAAGTCTTTTTTCTTGTTGATAAACTGTCAAAAAAAAAAGGGAAAACTTAAAAAAAATTTCCATTGCAAGTGACCAAAATTAAGAAAAATAAACGTCGGAGGCTGAATGATGGAAAAATTATTATAAAAAAAAAAAAAAAAAAAAAAAAAAAAAAAATTATCACTCACAATGTTTTGCAGATTTAGCAGTATTTTCGTCTTTGTCATTTAAGGAAGAATGATGATGATTATGAAGCTGGTTGTCTTCAAATCTTTTTTCACAAGGAGCTAACAATCTTTCAATACTGAACGATGATCTTTTTAAATGATCACTTCCTTGACATCTCATGCCTAATGATTCGTCGGGAACACTCACTTTTTCAAATGACATTTTTTATTAATGACACTACACATTAAATAATAAAAATATTTATCTGATTTTTGTTGATCACCAACATTATTCGATACGTTTATTCAAAATTAATTTGACAATTTTATAGTAAATTAATATCTAATTTATAAAACAATATTCACTAATTAAAAATTAACACGCTCGATATTTAAAATAATGTTTCAATGAAAATTAATAATTTGTATTTTGAATATGAGTGTCACTTGTAAATGCATCTAAAAACAAACTAACTGTTCTATTAGTGACACTCTTGTTTAGAGAATTAGAGTTTTGAACGTACTCTGTCACAAGAAAGTGAGTCGTATTAAACATTTTTTTTTTTTTTTTTTTTTTTTTTTTTTGGCACAAAAGTTAAATCCTTCAACATAAGGCGGTTCGAGAAACCCACGTGCTTTTAACGTCACCAACAGATGAACCAATGATTGTGAATTTGGGGCGGTACTTGGCAAGCACCTAAATCGCGGGGCACAAAATTTTTAATTATATCGCCGTATGATGATGATGATAATTTGCGCTCATAATTAATAACAAGTTGTCTAGCGCTTTTTTCAAATAAAATTCCAAAACTTTTCCCAGGTTAAAAATTTGTTTCCAGGTAATATTTCAATAAATTTTAATAGAAAAAATACATCAAATGTATACAAAATTAAATTATTTTAAATGTTTTTTTCATTAAAAACTATTAATAAATACATTTAATTTTTGGTATTTTTAGGACAAAAAAGGGGAAGAAAAAAGACGTTTTAGTCGATTTACATTACAAAAAAGTCAAAAAAGTCGATTTCTTATTTTTAATAAATACAATTAGATAATAAATATTTTATTATTATTATCAAACAATTGTTATTGGAATTTAAATAAGTTTTTATTAATTCTCTAATCTGATTTATGCAAATTATTCGAATTGAGAAGTTTAAAAAATGATTGAAATAATTACCTTTTCGAAGAACTTAAATAAAATATTATTGAAAAAAAATTAATTTAGAAAAAATTTTTAAAATAATTGAAATTTTATAAAGCTGCAGTTAACATTTAAAGAATTAATTGAATTTTTAGAGATTTTTAAATAAAATATTTGTAATAATAATAATAATAATAATAATAATTAAATTTTTGAGAATTTTGAATTAAAAAATATTTTTAAAAAATTAAATTTTTGAAAACGTTGATTAAAATTAGAAATAATTAATTTTCCGAATAATTTTAGAAATAATTAAATTTTTGAAGATTTAAAGCTAAAATTTTCAGAAATAATTGAATTTCAGGAAATTTTAAATCAAAACTTTCATCAATTTTAATTGATGAATTTTTATAAAAAAAAGTTTAGACAATTGAATTTTAAAGAACTTTCCTTTGAAAAATATTTTAAATAAAATTTTTAAAAAATTTGATTAAAATTATTGAAAATAATTAATTTTGCAATGAATTCTAGTTAATATTCATTTAATAATTCAGTTTTGGAAAATAGTCGCATGCATTGAAAAAAGTCGAATATATTTTCTTTATTTTACCAAATTTCATGTTTCCAAACGCGGTTGAAAAAAAAAATTCTTACATGAAATAGGAAATTCCAGGACCTAATGAAAAATTCAAGAACTTTTCCATGTAAAAATAAAATTCAAGGACTTTTCCAGGTTTTTTTTTTAAAGGAATTCCAGGTCACTAGACACCCTGTTATAATTATTTTTAAGAAAAAAAATAAATAAAGTGACAAAATAAGGGGAATTTTATTCATTTATTTTTGTCAATATAAAGTAGTAAATAAATCAAGAACTTAAAAGTTCTTCTTAAAATTATTAACTAATTTATATACAGAAAATAACGATTATCAAAAAGAAAACTAATTTGTGAATTTAAATACACATTTTACAATTTATTGTAGTCCTAATAGATTGCAGGATATTGAATATCCAGTTAAAATAAGAATAAAGTAAATAACCTCATATAACACTAAATATCAAGTAAAAACGTAGAATATTAATATTATCTAATTCTCATTCATTTTACATGATTACAAAAAATTGCTATGAAAAAAAAAACGTTGTTACTGTATTTATATATATATATATTTTTTTTTTTTTGTCGTTCCTATTTATAACTTAGAACAAATTATAAATTTTCTAAACGTGCTTCATCACACTTTTTCAAAATGCTTTTAAAGAATATTGATAATAATAGTAATAATAATTTTTAAATAAATTGAACTAGTTACATCGCTAACTGCAATAATTGCTGGAAATATCACTTTTAATTTCTTAAATGATCTTATTCAAATAACGATATAACTAGATGAATTATAACATCTAAAATATGAGTACTCTGAATAATAAATATTACATTTGTTGCGTAGAATTTCCATTCCATGTATTGTTTTCATCGTCATCATCTCTAGGTGAGTGTAATCTATGTATATTACCTTGAACTTTAAACACTTTTGTACTTCCAGTTCCCAAATTTCTTCTGTGAAGACTAAATGGTAAAAATATTCAATAATTAAAGTATTGTTCTTAAATAAAAAAAAAAAAACTTAAAAGAGCATAAAAATTTATAGGTAAAGTATATATTGTAAAATTTTTTTCAATCAAGACACTTTTATGGAGCAGTTTTAATGTTGAAAAATAAAATAAAATCACAGTTGTGCAAAAATTTCTAAAACGGATTAACTAAAATTTTTTTTAAATAATTAATTTTTAATGTTCAATCGTTTTTTTACTGTAATAAAAATAGGATTTTAAATATATATTCTATAAAAAAAATTATTTTGTTAAAGTTATAAATAATTTTTTTTTTTTAATAAAAATTATTTTTGAAAATTACATTCTAAGACGAGAAAATCCTATTCTTTGTTTTTAAAATCAACTGGATCTCGAGAAAATTTTTTTTTATTTAAAACAGCTGAAAATTTTAATTGTTTACAACTTTAACAATTTTTTTCAGAAATTTATTTTGATCACGCAGTAGTAGTAAAAAAAAGTCATTTAACATTGAAAATTGAAAATTTGTTTTTTAAAACATTAAAAATTTGTTAATTTTAAATTCAATGTATTATCAATTAATTATTATAAAAAAAGTTCTTAGAAGAAATCTTACTTGATAATCAGTTTTATTAAGACGAAAAATAATATAAAAAGTCAAAAAATACTAACCCTCCCATTCGTTGCATATTTGAAACATCTTGTGAATTATTTTCATTGGCAGTATTACTAAATTCTCCCGAATTAGGCTCATCATTTTGTGATCTTCCTGGTCCTCTATTAGTATTAAAAAAATATCGCATAACATAATTGTACACTCCAATAACTGGACTGAAAATGGTCCATATAATGCGAGATAAAAAGCCTATATCTTTTGAAGAAGTTATAATTGATTTTGAATTCGACTGTAAAAGAAAAAGTATTGGCATTATTATTTCAAATTTCAGACACTTAAATATTTAACTAATTTATTTATTATACTATATTTAACTAATGTACAACTGTACATAGAGTAGAATTTATTTAATTTATAAATATTGAAAGTTATTTTTTCATTTCTTTTTTAAGAATGAAAATTTTAATACAAAATATTTTTTTTACTTATTTTTCACGAAGCTGAAGTAAGCAACGTTTATGATAAACGATTTTTAAAGAAATAATTTTTTAAAATGAAAAATTCCATAATTTTTTGATTAATGAAAACTACAAGAAATATTTTTTAAGCGAAAAATTATAGAATTTTTTATTTTAAAAAATTAATTTTCAAAAATCGTTTATCGTAAACGTTGCGTACTTTAGCTTCGTTATTTTTCCGTATAAAAAAATTTTTTTTTTTCTCCTTGACTACTTTTGTCAATATCATCAGATTTTGTTTATATAGAAAAGCACAAATTAGAACTGTTGCGGTCTATTTTAAAAAAAAACTAGTTTTGAAATATGTTAAACTTGAACATTTTCTTAGTTAATTCATCATAATATTATGGCTTAAATTTTCTTTTTTTGTATGAAATTAATAATGAAAAGTAGGAGATTCGGGACCTTAATTTACAACCTAAAATTTTGTACTTTTTAAAAAACATTATTCGAAGATTATTTAATATTCGATATTGAGTCTTACCAAAAGTATAAATTTTTTGATACTGTATACTAAAAAATGATAAAATAGTTGCAGAAATATTCATCTTTAAAACAATAATCGTATTCAAAATTATTTTTCTTGAAAATTTTTCATAGTATGTAACTTTTTTGGGAGCTCCTAAAATTTGGAGGTTGAAGAGCAATAAAATTAAATTAAAAATTAACCTTTTTTATGTAAAAATTTGTAAATTAAATATCTTGTAAAAGCAAAAAAAAACATCTACAAGTTTTAATAGCAACTAAATTATATCAATATTAAAATATTTTTATTAGGTCCCAAAAAAAAGATACAATCTGCAAAAAATTTCAAAAAATTTTCAAAAAATAATCGATACAAAAGTTAGTTCAATTATTTTCAAATCATTAAATAAGAAAACAATTTAATTTTTAAAAGTGTTTCAATGTATTTCAATAAAAATGATAAAAATTACAATTTCTTGACAATTGGAAATGATTTAGGTATAACGCAACCTAACATTATAATTGTTTCTCATTGTCAAATTTTTTTAAATCTTTATCCAAATACAATTTTTCTCGATTCAATAAGTTAAAAATAAAATTTCCCACACTTTTACTAAAAAACAGTTTAATTAAAATTTGATTTATATAAAAAAATAATTCTTAAAATAGTAGTAAAGATGTTGGAGTTTTTTTGTACAGCAATATTAAATATTTGAAGAGGCCCAGCGTAGTTGGGCGAAAGCTAATGTATTAAATATTAAACAATAAATGTGGATTTATGTTTATATATTTATTATAAATAATGAAATGATAATAAAATTACGCATAAAATATGCCAAAAAAATTTGTTTATTATTCCCACCGAAAGACGATAAATTTGGGAAAATAAACAGAAAATAAATAAAATTTAAAAAATTAAAGATATAAAATAAATAAAAATGAATCCACTTCAAATCAATTTTAATCGAATTAACTAACAATAAAGATGTATTTTAGTTGAATCTACTATGTAAATCATCAATAATCATTTTTGTAGATTCATCTAATTTTTGAAATGTAACCATTGTCTCCGCATCACAACTCCATTGTTGTTGGTACCAATTTCTAAATAATTGAAAACCCTCGTAGGCTGCAGTGGCTTCAGTAATAATATTATAATCATTCACATCCTCAAATTCAATATTAATCTCTTCTTCTTTAACCTCTACAAAATCTATACTGTTTTCCAAATCAGTAGATAATTTTTCTCCGCTAAATGCACTCAAATCTATGGAATATCTTTTTTTGAATCTGATGAACCATCCCGTACTTGCTTTAAAATCAATCTTACCGTCAATTTCTTGGTTTATTAAGAGTGCTTTTTCCTTTATAAGAGCCATTGACATTGGTTGTCCATCAGTCAACTTCTGCTTACACCATTTATACAAAATTTCTTCAAGAACTGGATTTTTAGGATTATGAAATCGCTTAAGTTTTGTATCTAACATTTCATCATTTTGTATTCTTTTTTCATACTCATCACTTTGAAGTCTCATGCGTCGAATTGCTGTATGCGAAACATTAAATTGCCTAGCAATTTTTGCATTGGTAGTTTTAGTTCCATTCGCTTCATCTGATTTAAATATTTCTAAAATTTTTTTTCGCTCTTCCAAATTGAGAAGACTATATTTTTCTCTTGACTTTTTCTGAAAATACCACAAAAACTACAATTCTCTATATACATTCAAAAAATAAATAAAAATATTTTATGATAATAAATATAAGAATTATAAGTAGTTATTTAATTATAATCAATTATTATTAATATTATTAATCATTATTTTAAGAATTTACTTTTTTCATGATATTAAATTTAAAAATTATTACTTGAAATTTGTTCAACAAATTATAATATCGATAATAAATTAATTAAAATGAATAATAATAATAATAATATCAGTAATAATATTAATAATAATGATAAAATTTACATACTGTTCAAAATGATAATTTTTATTCCATGTAGGGTTCACAATTATTGCACAGCACTGCGAACAAACGCGCGAACACTTGAAACTGAATGCTTCGCAAAAAAAGAAGCTTTTTAATTCTAAATGCTTCGCGAGAATTTTTTAAACATATTTTAAACATCCAAAAATGTACAGTTGGACTAACTTTGGCTGTGACTGTCCGTCCAATTCTTCTTTAAGGAAAGGCACTACCTTTATTTTGACCCCTTTAAATTTTAATGATCGCACGAAATTATATATTTTCTTTCTTGCATCATTTGGGTCCTAAAAATATTCATGGTGATAAAAAAAGAAAATTTTCATTTTTCATAATTTTAAAATTTGTATCTTTAAAAAAAAAAAAATAAATAAAACTTTTTAAAAGAGTGTGAAAAAGTTGGCGATAAAAAATAGTCAAAATTGTACAAATTTAAAAAATTTTTAATTTCTTCAAAACTATATTAGTATATTTCTAAAATAGTCAAAAATTAAAATTTTTCTTTTTCTGTTTTCTGATGCAAGAAAAAAATATAATTTTCTCAAATCATTTAAATTTAAAGGATTCAAATAATGGTGGTGTCTTCCTATAAACATTTTAGTCGATTAACAATTACAAGAAAAGTCAAGAAAGTCGATTTTTATTTTTAATTAATTTCATTAATTAATAAATATTTTATTATTATTATTATTATTATTGATATTAAATAAATAAATTTTATTAAATAATTTAAAGTTTTTTGAAAAAATTTTTTACGTCTGATTTTTGAAAATTTATTTGAATCAAGAGTTTCAGCAAAGTTTCTTGAAAAATAGTAAAAAAAATTGCAGTTAGTCTATATTTGGAAAATTCTTGTTTTCAATAAGATACAGAAAGTTTTGTGTTTGAGAAATTCTCAAGATTTGAATTCACAAATATTTCAAAAAAAAAAAAGTTTCAGTTATAAATTTTCAAAATTTAATTTTCTTCTTTTATTATTACGAAAAATTTTTAAAAAATTTTCAAGAAAAAATATTTTAAATACGATTATTGCTTTAAAGCTAAATATTTCTGTAATTATTTTAACATTTTTTAGTATAGAATCAAGAAATTTATACTTTTGCTAAATCTCAATATTAAATACTCTTCGAATAATAACTTTTTTTAAAAAGCTACAAAATTTGAGTTTACGAAATAAGGTCCCGAATCTCATACTTTAGATTATTAATTTTATATAAAAAATGAAACTTTAAGCCATAATGATTAATGAACTAAGAAAATGTTTAAGTTTAACATACTTCAAAAAAAGATTCTTTAAAAATTTGACTGCAACAGCTCGTAGACGAAAATCAACCCTAGTAAAAAATGACTAAAAATTAGTTTGATTACTCATAACTTTCTTAAGGGGACGCACCCCAATTTTGACCAACTTAAATTTAAATTTTTGACCATTTCAGAAATTAAAGTCTTAAAAAATTAATATTTTAAATATCTATCTTCTTTTAGAATTTTGATTCTGACCATTTTTCATCGCCAATTTTTTCCATAGTTTTTAAATGATTCTTCAGAATCTCTCGCATGGATTTTAAAAATATTAATTTTTTTTTAAAAATAAAAATTCTAAAATGGTCAAAAATTAAATTTATTTTTTTGACCACTTTATACGTTTTTAGGACCAAAATGATGCAAGAAAAAAAATATAACTTCGTTTAATAATTTAAATTTAAGTGAATCAAAATTGAGGGCCTCCCATTAAAAAAGCATTAATTTTAAAAGTTTTTTTTTCAAAATGTGTGTTTTTAACTGAATTTTTCAAAAATCATGCAAAAAATTATAAAATTGAAATTTACTATATTTTTTGTAATTTAAAGGTTAAAATCTTGTTTTTAAAATTGTTTGTATCCTTTTTACTAAAAAAAAATATTTTAAAAACTACTTCCTTTTACAATAATTTTAAGCCTGGATCTGTTGCGGGAAATTATATATTCAATATTGTAGGAATTTTTTAAATTTTCGAAATTTTGAATTTTTTAAAAAATATCTCCGTTTTTTTATACTACGTACTTGAATGTATTTTGATGAACTGATTACGAAAACCATAGTGACAATACCCGAAAATTTGATTTTTACGGCGAAAACCATAAAAAAAGTCTTAAAATATTTAATTTTTTCGTTTCTTGGGTAAAATATGCAAGATTTTAAAAAAAAATTTTTAATTGATCCATTTTTAAGAAAGAAGGCTTCACAGCATAAAATTTTCTTAAAAAAAGGGGAATAGTGGAAATTTTGTTTTGAAAAAAGGGGAAAATCTAAATGTATATTTTCCTTAACCAAAATGCTTTTAAAGTTGTTTTAAATTACACTACCGGTGAAAATTTTGAGACCACCCATTTTCTGGATGAATAAAAAATATCGTAAAACATAGAAAGTATAGAAACAAAAATGATTTTCCTAAATTTTTTAAAAGATGATAAATTTATAGAGAAAAGTGAGATTTAAAGAAAAGATTTTCCCAGTATAGTAATAAATTTTTTTATAAATGTCATTTTCAATGTTTTCTAAAAATTTGAATTTTTTTTTTTTGAAAAATGCAAGTAATTTTTTATTTTATCAAACCGAAATTCGTCTTGTAAAATATACAAAACTTGATTTTATTCATATTTTTCAAAGAAACTGAAATTTTTAATTTATTTAAATTAAATCAAAAAAACAAAAAATTTTTAATTAATTTTCTGATAAAAAAAAATTTCCAATTTTTCTAATTCAGGCCTCGAATTGACTTTAGAAACAGAAAGAAGTCGTTTTAGTCGATTTTCTTTACAACAAAAAAAGTCACATTTTATAAAAATAAGTCGAAATATTCGCAATTCATTGAAAAAGTCGAAAAAGTCGTGTAATCCGAGTCTTGTAATTTTTTGGTTCAAATTTGAATTTTTATTAATTATCCCATTATTCGAGTTTCAACATAAAATAGGGGAAAAATTCATAAAAAAGGGAATTTTTTAAAAATAGAGGAAACACTGTGAAGCCTGAGAAAGTTATGAGCATTCGAAAAAAAGCATTAAAATTCTCAAATTTCGAAAAATTCATATCTTCTAAACAGTTTGATATGTTGATTTGGCATGGAACCCATCATATAGAAAAATTGATGTTATACTTACATTTTTTAAAGGTAAAATCAAAATCACACACGTTGGAATCAATCCTAATTCTGTGAGAGTTTTATTGTCATCCTCGACAAGAAGATCTCTTCGTGGAAATGATGTGGACAGTGTAAATTGTTGAAAGGGTATTTCAATGTTAGTGGAAACATAATCGCGCAATGTTCCAAGTGTAACCGTAGGTTCGAATTGTCCCATATGTGTACTACCAGATGGTAATCTGAATTGAATTCTAGTAAGAGATGAATCATTATTTGATGATTGTGGCGTAATGATTTGTTGTTTCTCTGATTGTTGAGTAGCCTGTTTCTGTTTTTTAATAACAAAAATTATTATCATATAAATTAAAAGAACTCTAAAGTAATGCATAAGAAAAATTAAAAACCTTTAATGCTAGCTCTTTTTCTTTTCGTAATAATTTATCTTGTGCAATTTGTTGTCTAACTCTTTCTCTAGCTGCAGCATCATCAGCTTTTTCTTTTAATCTTTCTTCGTGCGACTGTTTTATTTCCAAATCACGTTGTTTTAAACGTAATTCTTGTAATTCACGCTCTCTCTTTCTACGTTCCAATTCTCTTTCTTTTCCCTTTTTTATTTCTTCCTCGATTCGTTGCTTTTTCTGTAATTCAATTAATTGCTGTGCTCGTTTCACTTTTTCCTATTAAATGAAAAAAAATGAGTCACAATTTTTATTAAATATAATTTCAAATAATTTAAATTTACCTCATGCGTTAATTCTGAAGTGGATTCTTGTGAAGATTGAATTTCTGCTTGTGAAGCAATCGGAGAATTATTTTCTAAAGTTGTAACATTTGTTGGCGCACTTACTGTAGTTGCTTTTTGTTCTGATTTTATAAAAGAAGTTGAAGATCCTGAAGCAGTTTTTCCTTGTTTTACCAACATATCATCAATTTTTACTGCTAGCTCTGAAATTTGACAATTATTCGCAACAACTTCTATAGGGGAACCCACTGCATCGATAAAATATATACATGGAACTGGAACCAGTTGATCTGATTTTAAACGTTAAGGAAAATAATTTAATTCTAATGTAATTCTTAAATGTATTGCATAATAATTAATTCAAGGATACATATTTGGGCAAAGAATCTGTACGTTTCTGTACCACTTTCTATTTTAATTGCTACAAAATGATCTTGTTCCAAACGTGAAGATATTTCTCTAGATTCAATAATTTGTGATAATTGAGTTGATGTGTCATCTTTTCCTGTAAACACAAAAGATTAAAATTGTCATTTTAATAACAGATTCCAATATTTCTACATATATTATAAAAAAAAAATGTAAATTTGATTCAAATTCATAATAAAAATATTCAAATATGTCTTCGAGCTCAAAACTAAAACTTTTAATGAATTGATAAATATTCAGTCTTAAATATTCTATTAATTTTTCATAAAAAAAATGACAACTTTAAAAAAAAATTACAAGCATTTGTCACATATTGTAGAAAGTGACAATAAAAGAATATATATTTTAATGTTTACTTTGACAAATTATTTGTTTTGAAATAACCTAATTTGTTTATTTACCTTCAATAAATGCAACGAAAATAGCCTTTTTCTGTTTTGATGCATGAACTGCTTCTTGAATGCTTCCTACAAACCACTTCATCTTTTATACGATTTTTTAAAATTATTTTTGACAGATATATTTAACAATTAATAAATGTTAATATATGTGATATTATCGTTAAGATCACAGGTCAAAGACAATTTTTTAATGTTACGCAATATGTATTATGTATTATTATTCAATGCAATTTTAATATAATTGTTGATAATTTTAGTTGACTTTTGAAACTATAATTTAGAAAGATCAAGAAAGATAATCAAAGGAGAAATAGACACATACATATAAACAATATGCCATGTCATGCATAACTGCTGATCAAGATTTGCACACATTTAAATGTCCTAGTGTAACTTACGCATTTTTACGTATATTACATATATAAAGGTGCTTTCATACTGAAATTACGGTTCAGTCACGCATTATCTTAAGGTGTTTTTATACTTGCTTGCGTTTACGGCGAGCGATGTATTTTCACTAATGAATTAGATTATTTAATTATTTATATTATATTTATATTATATTAATTTAATTATTTAAAATTTTTACATTTTTTCAATTAGTTTTTGATAAGCCCTGTCGTCTGCTTTGTTGTTCCTCCAATTCTTTAATGTCACAAGTGACATAGCCTTATGCGCAGAAACCTAATTTAGATCTACGCGCAAACTACATGCCATTTTTTTCTATGGTCGGTAATGTAGAAAATCATCTCTGTATGAATTTTCCATCAAAATCATTAAATAGAATTTTTATTTTAAAGTACTTATTTTATTAGAATTAATTATTTTTTACATTTTCAATTTTCGAATGAAAATTTAACAGATTTTTTTTTTTACAAATTTTTACATAATAAAATTTTTAATTTAATAAAATTCTTATTCAATCGAATTGTATGTCATTCGAATTTTTACATGACAGAAATTTCAATTCACCGAATTTTAATTTGTTCGAATTTTGAATTGATAAAATTTTTAAGACGAGGAATTTTTATTTGTCCGAAATTACAAATGACCGAAGAAACAATCGACAGAAAGATTTCGGCGCAATTTTTGAAAATTGTCCAATTAGAAATTATAAAAAAAGGGTTTGGTCAATTTTCAAAAATTGCGCCGAAATCTTTCTATCGATTGTTTTTTTCGGTCATTTGTAATTTCGGACAAAAAAATTCGGCGTCTTAAAAAGTCTATTAATTAAAAATTCAGTCGAATTAAAATTCAGGTAATTGGAATTTCTGTCATTTAAAAATTTTGTAAAATTAAAATTTTCTTAAATTAAAATTATTTTAAAAAAAAATTTATGTAAAGAAAAAGTCTGTAAAATAAAAATTCTGACAAAAAAAATTCGGTTGCTAAAAATTTTGTTATATAAAAATGCGTATTAAAAGAAAATCATTTTTTAATTCGAGATTTGAAAATTCATCTAAAAAATAATTATTTCTAATGAAATATTTTAAAATAAAAATTTTAATTTATATTTTTGAGAAAATTATGCGCCTCCAAAAAGAGCCCATTATGGATACAGCCTTAATTATAAAGGTACGTACACACAAATTTCTCTTGGGATGTCACATTTTGGACATTCTACTGTTCTCGAAAAATGTTGCGAATATAATTAAAAATAAAAAGCAAAACGTTAATTCATGTAAATAAATATCACAACATACACTCACGTGCAATAATATTGTTCTGTTGGTTAGGTTATAAACATAAATTGTTCATTATTATTTTTTTCTACGCAGCAGAATCTAAACAGAAGAACAGCATTTGTTGCACGTGTTTGTACCTCTATTACTCATAGCTCAATGCCTTAATTTTTTCTCTTTTCTCACGAATGCAATTTAACCCTAATTTGATGATAACATTGTCTTGTGTGAGTAACGAGCTGAACAATAGAAAATAATATTTTCTGATGCACTCCTTCTGCTTGTATATATCATATAAATATTTGAAAAAGAAACAACGGAATTGAACCGTGACAGTGTATAGTAACATTAGTCAATTAGAAGTGTGTGTGTGTGAACTCTAAGTGAAAAACGTGAGACAATTCTTATGTTCGTGCTTAAATTATATTTGCAAATAAAATAAAATAATTATCACAATGGCTCTTTGTTTAAATAAAGGTAAGATAAAATATTTTTATTTATTAAAAAGTAATTATTATTAATAAACTTTAATAAATTATTAGCGGCTTTTTGTTGTAAATAAATTATTAGTATAGTTCAGGTTGTCCAGTTTCAGCCATTTTTGTTTAGTTCAATTCCTAAATGTTTCTGTTCAGATATTTGAAATACGGAACAGAAACAAAATGTCGTAGTTTGATAATTGTGATTGCGTCTGTTTAATGTATTTCATGTTATAAATTGTACAAATTTTTTAATCATTGTTGATAATGCCAAAACATTCCTTATATATTATAATGAAAGAAAAGAAAATATGAATTTTTGAAGTATTTTTTTGTTTAATGTAAATTCAGTGCTTTTGTGTGTGTGTGAGTGTAGGTCTCAAGTGTGCTGCGTCGGTGATTCATTTCATAGAGTGAAATATCAGAAATACTATGTGATTAGTGGACAGACTATTTGGTATAAGAAAAATACTTTCCCTTAGTAAATTAGAAGAAAGCTAGATTGAAAAGTTTGTTTTTTTTTTCTTTTTACTAAATTGAAAGAAATTTCCTCAATTGAAATTCAAAACGAACGCGAGTAATGTCAAAATCGAAGGGAGTATGAAGGTGACCGTGTGCTTTGATAATGTGCGAGTGGTGGTTCCCTGTGGGGATGGAACATTGTTTGTTAAGGATTTAATGCATGAAGCAACGTTACGTTATAAAAAAGCAACTGGTAAAAGTGATAGTGCATTAACAATCAATAGTCTGTCGTCTTTAACGGGTGGTGGTCTTCTCGATCCCGATGACAGGTTATGCGATGTAGCTGACGACAGAGAACAAATAGTCGCGCATTTTATTTATTCCGATGTTATTCATGCTGGGGGCGATGGTGCTAGTTCAGTTGGGACAAATAGTCCTGATTTTTTTCACGGAGGCGATGGACATCATCATCATCATCACCATCATCATCATCATAATCCGCAATCGAGCAATATTAAGAGAGAAAGTACAAAGAGGTTATCGATGCATGTACTTTCAACAAGAGAGCCATATCTCACAACTTATTCGGCACAATCATTACCGCGTGAATCACGTCGAAAAGAACCATTAGGACAGGATGCAAAATCATTTTATGAATTGTCAAATTTTCCCCTTCCAATTAATGACGAGATACGTGAAATTATTATTAAAAATGAAGCTGGTCCATTGGGATTGCATGTTGTTCCTTGTTATGATTTATCGGGAAATGATCAGGGTCTTCGTGTTGAGGGAATTGAGCCAAATGGAAGGATAGCAAAGGATGGTCAAATTGAATTACATGACAATATTATTAAAATAAATGGTCACAATTTATTGCGTATGCCTTTTTCTAAAGTTCAGGAAATATTTCGAACGTGTATGAGTGAGCCTTGTTTAAATATATCGGTATTGAAGCATAAAAAGAATGTTGATAAGCCTCTGCCTAAAAGTCCAGGTAGTGAAAAAGTAGAAAGTGAGGAAAATGTTAAAAAATTACAGGGAACGAATTATAATATTCTTCAAACGGCAAATACTCGAAAAATAGGGAAAATGATTGAAATTGAATTGACCAAGGGAAGTAATGGTTTGGGTTTTAGTGTCACTACACGTGATAATCCAGCTGGTGGTCATTGTCCAATTTATATAAAAAATATTTTACCAAAAGGTGCAGCAGTTGAAGATGGACGATTAAAACCAGGTGATAGATTATTGGAGGTCAATAAAAAGGAAATGACGGGCAAAAGTCAAGATGAAGTTGTTGCTTTATTGAGAAGTATTTTACCAGGTGGTAAAGTAAAATTATTGGTATCACGTCAGGAGGAAGTATCAGCAAATACATCTGATACACAAATTGGTGTCATCGATTCAATAAATACATCGAAAAATTCTCATCGTTCGCCAATAAAAAAAAGTGATGAAGAAAAATTGGATTCATATACAATGGATAAATTTAATTTTAAAACAATTCAAATTTCCGATGAAGTTATTTTATCACCTAAAAAAAATCGAATGATTTTAACTTTAGACATTCCAGTACATGATTCCGAGAAAGCAGGACTTGGAGTAAGCGTAAAAGGTAAAACAAGTAGTAATGACGATAATACTAACGTTGACTTAGGTATATTTATTAAAAGTGTTTTACACGGCGGAGCGGCATCCAGGGATGGTCGTTTAAGAACAAACGATCAACTGCTCAATGTGAATGGAGTTTCCTTATTAGGACTTTCAAATTCCGATGCTATGGAAACTTTGAGACGTGCTATGCTCAATACTAATAGTTCAGTAACTGGAGTTATTTCACTGACGATAGCGAGACGTGTATCTTCATACGACAATTGTGACAAAAATTTTATTGATACTCCTGGTAAATTAGAATCAGCTGTATACATTTCAGATTCCACGAAACGTAATGAAAGTAAAGATAAAAATAATCTCAATTCACCATCGGATGCATTGGATAATGGTTCTTTGCTATCGTCAGCTTCAGCTTCGCCTTGGAATCCAGTTATAGATAGATTAACTGAACAATATAATAAAAATAGTTTGCGCAATGAAAGTTATTGTATTGCCACTAATAAAATATGGATGGATTCGGCGAGTAATGTTAATATTAAAAAATTAACATTACCACAAAATGGTGATTCAGTATTAATGGAAGATTCTAATCATGATAATCACGGTAATGAAATAAAAAGAAATTCCGAAGATAAGGACAGTCAGTATTCGGGTGATCCAACGTACGATAGTCAATTGTCATTAGAAGAATTTAATTCATCAACAAATAAATTTTCTCGTGACGCTTTAGGTCGACAGAGTATGTCTGAAAAGCGACACGCTGTTCTTGATGCTAAAAATACTGATACCTATAAGAGAAATAAAAAATTACGCGAAGGCAGAGAAAATAAAAGTGCCGAGCATAATAGCCATTCAGAGAGTATTGGAGATGATAAAAAACGTGGTTACAGTGTTGAAAAACTTGGTGACAAAGTAGGGGAAAGTTCATCGTTTGATAGTAATAGAAAACATTACGATAAGAAATTTGTGGACCAACCTCAATCAGAGTATTTATATACAATTCCAGGATGTAATAACAAGCATTCATCACCTCGTAAACATTGGCTTGTTGACGATGTTCACAGTAATAACATTCCAAATGCAAATAATTTTAACGAAGCAAGAGAAGGATTCTCCAACACGCGAGGCGATGTCAAGCAGGCGTCATTAAATTCAGCATTGGATGATCGATACAAACGTTCAAGAAAAAAAGGTGGAATTCGATCAATGCTACGTTTAGGAAAAAATAGAAAGTCACTTAATTTTGGCGATAATTTAGAAAATCGCCATGAAACTAATAATTATTGTAGTGGAACAATTAATTACATTTCGTAATTATTATTTTTTTCCAAAAAGATCTTTTTTTTTTATTGAAAATTTTAATGACAATTATTAATATGTACATATATTAATATATGTATGAAAATTAAATAGAAATTTAAATAACAAGAAACTAATTTTTTTATCGTGACTGAATTTAACTAGAATCAATTCTAGTATAATATCAAATTACGCAAGTACATTCTTAGGCATAATATAAGCCTAATTGTAAATTTACAAAAACAAGGAGGACCTGGTTTCAAGTGCCTTATATCTGCATACTAAAAATAAATGGATCGAATTTTGTATATATTTAATTTTGTACTTAATTTTAATAAGTTGACTACGTTCCACACTGAAAATGCAAGTTATGATTGAAAATCGCAAGTATTTAAATAATTCAACTGAAATAATTTTACCACCAGCAACTATATTTGATAACAAGATATGGAAAAATTTTCAATTACTTTCTGATCCAATAATTGTTTTTCAATGTGAAAAAAATAATGACAAATTGTCATTTAGGTAAGATATATTTATTTTTGTCATTCCTGTTATAATCTGTAAATTATTAATGATTAGCATACCAAAAAAAAAAAAAAATGCTTCTCATTCTATGATTATTTTATCATTTGTTAAAATTATTTAATTTTTGTTTTAGTGTTACAGACAGCTCAAAAATCAGTATCAATTCAACAGATACGATTCCGTTCTAAAATAAATATACAGAGGCCAAAACCCTTTCATCATGAGCGAGGAAAAGTAATGGAATTATTAACTCCAATTTATGCGAATCCAAATAAAGGGAAAAAATTATGGGAAGTTTGTATATCAGCACAGAAAAAGGATGTAAAGAAATATGTTGCACATCCTTATGAAATGATAATAGCAAGAGAAATTTTAAATTGGTTCAATAATTCTAAAATGATTGGAATTTTTCATATGAATTCAATAAAAGCTGAGGATAATTTTAATTTTCAAGTTAGATTAAAAAAGCATAATATGTATACAAAAAATTATGGTTATACATTAATGAAATTAGCATTAACGGATACAATTTATGAACCTGTTCTTAAACTATTTCTTACAAGATCTGCATTAGTATTTAGTCCAGATGTTAATGTTCAAGCACTTGTCCAAACTGCTAAAAAGACACCGGAATTAACTTTATTGGGTAAGATTTTTATATTATAAACCGCACACACACACATTTTTTTACTTTTTTGATACTTTTTTTCGGTAGAGCTACTTTTTTAATACTAATTTTAACTAGAAGCTAATGAATGCTACTTTTTCTAAATAAATGGAAAAAAAATTGCCAGAATTATATATAGTTTTTAAATCTATTAATTGATAATTAATTAATTAAGATAAAAATCTTCACAGTTCTTCAATTATTTGAAAAACAATTAAAGTCTTTCAAAAATTAAATTATTTTTAAAAATATTAATAACATTTCTAATTGTTCAATTATTTTAAATACTTAAAATTAAAATTATTGGAAATTCAATTACTTTCAAAAAATTGCAATTAAACGCTCTTCAATAATTTTAATTCAAAAACTTAATTCATTTCAAAAATTGCAATTAATATTCCTGGAAAATTCAATTATTTCCAACATATTCATTAAAGTAATCCTAAATTCAATTATCTTCTAAAATTTTTAATAAAATCCTTGAAAAATTCAATAATTTTCAAATCTTCAACGAAAATTCTTTGAAAATTACATTATTTTAAAAACAAAATATTGAAATACTTTAAGATTCAATTTTATTTTTGAATAATTTCTATTAAACTTTCTTTAAATGTTGTAATAAATATTCCTTAACAATTTCAGCTAATTTCAAAAATAACTGTAAAAATTCTACAAAAATCGAATTATTTAAAAAATTCTTAACTACAATTCTTTAAAAACTCATTTGCTTCTGAAACTTTCAATTAAAATTCTTGAAAAATTTTATTAGTTAAAAAAAAATTTAATCTATGTCTAAAAATTCAATTATTTTCAAAAATTTCAAATATGATTCTAAGAATGTGAAATTAATTTGAAAACTGCAATTTCAACTTTAATTCTTAGAACGTTAATGTAATTTTAAAATTTTCAATTAAAGGTCTTTGATTATTTAATTATTTTCAAACTGATCAATTAAAATTTAAAAATTTCAAGATCAGCTCTTTAAAAAGTTAATTATTTTCAAAAGTTACATTTAAAATTTTTTAATGATTCAATTATTTAAAATAATTTCAAATAAGTCTCTTAAAAAATTTAATTATTCTTAAAAATTCCAATTCTTTGAAAATTTAATTATTTTCAAAAATGTCAATTTAACATCTTTGAGATTTCAATGACATATTTTCGAAGAATTGCAAAATTAAACGCTTTTTAATAATTTTGAATTGAAATAATCTAATAATTAATAATAAATAATAACCCGTGTGGAAAAAGCCACGATCTTGCCCTCAAGAGTTCGGGGCCCCCGGCGGGGGCCCATGAGGGCTGATCCATATGGCGAATCCATGAGGGGCACCGTAGGGGCCCGCATGGATCGCCCTCATGATCGATTAGCAAAATTTTCTAAGTCCAAAAATCAAATATTTTTTTATCAACAAAAAATGAATGTTTCCAATGATTCAAAACAACGAAAAACGCGTTTTTCATAAAAATATATTTACACTTTTTTGAAAATTCACCTGAGATGATTCATGATAATAATCATAAAGCATATAATTAATTATATTTTATAAATTGCATTTGATTGGAAAATATAATTTAATATCTTAACTTTAACTAAATGATGTTAAGCACTTTTCTTTGTTAGGTATTTTGGAAGTTTAAATAGCAGCAAGAAGTTAGCATTCGTTTTGAAGTAGCGTGCGTAGCGTAGTTGGTAAAGCGTTAGACTCATAGTCCGTAGGTCGTAGGTTCGATTCCCCCCATGCGTTAGATTTATTTATTTCTCAGGTTTGCGTTTAATCATTAATTCTATGTATGAATTAATTGAAAAATGAAAATATCCGTTAATAGTATGCATAAATTACATATTTTTTAATTTTTTAATTAATTAATTTATTATTACTTTTAATTATATCCGACAGTTAATTAATTAGAACGTTAATTAATAAATTCAATTTGAGTAAGAATTTAATTTAAAATTGAATAATTATTAAATAAATATGTTATTTATTCATAACTTAAGCTTATTTATTATTAATTAACTTTTATTATTAATATTATTGATTAAAAAACATTATGGCAAACTTGAGGGCAAGATGAGGGCAAACGTGAGGGCCCATAAGGGCGCCCGTAGGGGCACCCTCATGGATCGCCCATGCGGGCGCCCTCATCGATGAGCATGTCGTTTCCATGAGGGGCCCCTATGGATCATCCATATGCGGCCCTCATGGCATGAGGGCGATCCATAAGGGCCCCCGCTGGGGGCCCACATCACTTTTCCACACGGGAATAATTAATTTTTTTACTATAAATTTTTCTTCTCAAAATTTTTGATCAAGGAACATTGCAAACCAATTTTTAGAAACAAAATTTTTAATAAATTTGTACAGAGAAATATTTTTTCTTCTAAATCGTTGATCATAAACATTGTGAACTTTACCAATATCATATTTCATAATAATTTCTTTAAAAATAAAATGTATTTAAAAAAGTATTTTTAAAGTCGATAAGACAGAAAAATTTAACTTTAACAACCATCAAAAAACTAATTAATTACTTTTAAAAATAAACAAAAATTGGTATTTATTTTCCATTCACTTAAAGTAATGATTAATACAAAAAAATATGTGAAAGACTTAATTGAAGTTTATATATTCAAAATTGCGAAAAATTTGTTATTTTTTATAAATTTATTTGACGAATAGAATTTCATAATGAGAATATTTATGATTTACAGCTGGCATACTTAACGATAAATTGTTGCATCGAAACGAATTTTTGGAATACGGAAAAATGGATCTAACATCCGCCCGAGTCGGCTTGGTTTCAGTATTACAAAATGCAGGTGGTAATAATTTAAATAGACAACTAACCCATCATCAATCAACATTAGTTACAAGGTTGGAACAAATAAGTACAGCGAAATCAACTTGCGATAATAATGATTAACTGGTGCATATGTTAACATTTTTTTTTATTGGTATATTGATAATGTATCATACGTAAGAAATATGTGAAGCTTTAAGGAATTTACATTTAGACACTATATATATATAACATAAATAATTTTTTAAACGTGATTTTAGTGAGATTAGATACTGTTTTTATTCACTTTTACCATTATCACATGACGTTTCATTATATAAACTAATATTTTTTAAAAATATTTAAAAAGTTATATATAATTCTATTAATTAAAAGCAACTAGAAGAAAGCAAAATTTCAATTATATGGTTAAAATTTTAATTTCATCAGTTAGCAATTAAATTTATTGTGATAACTAATGGCAATAATTGCATCGAGGATGACATTTCATTCCATTTTCTCCACATTTACAACCCCCGGACGTGTCACCTTTTCCCTAAAAGAAAACAAAAATTATAAAATTGTTAATCAAGTATTATTAATAAACAAATTTGTAATTTTTAAAAAGCAAGACTAATATTGGTCAAATATTTTTATTGGAAAAAAATCTTATATATCTGGGGTATTATATTTTAAATTGCACCACCAATAAAAGACGATCGCGAGCTGAGCTTTTTTTAAATGTATTTTATTTTATAAAAGAAGAAATTATAAAATGTTAAACACTACTTTGAAAGAAAATTCTTAATGTTTTTTTAATTTCTCTCAATTTCATAAAGAAATTCCGTTTTGAAATCTAAAATTCTTAATATCTCAAAAATTTTTCAGTCGTAGAATATTTTTTTTATAATTTTTAATTGGTCATTTAAAAATTAGAATCACATGAAAATTCTGAATTTTTCTATTTAACCGAATTCTTATCTAGTAAAATTATAAAATAATTAAATAAAATTTCTACAAAATTTTTATTTAACTAAATTTAAATTTAGCAAAGTTCCCATTCAATAGAAATTTTTAAATTTACGAAATTTTTTTAAATCCAAATTTCCAGTTAGATGAATTTTTCGTTTAATACGATTCTCATAGAAATTATATTGCAAAGAAAATATTAATTATAGAAAACAATTATTAAGGCAAATTTCTATTTAACGGAATTCTGCATTTTTTCTATTAAAAGAATTTTTGTTAAAATTTTTAACTTTGAATTTTCATAACTTTAATAATTTTTTTTGTGAGAAATTTAAAAAAACATATAAATAATTAATTTTTTTATAGAATAAAATTCACTTGAAAAACTTTCTGTTTGCGATCGTTTGAAAATCGTTTTTTAAGTTGTAACAGTTTGAAATAGAATCTATTTTTGTTTGAATAAAAATTTAATTTAAATTCTACTTACAGCGGGTCCCCATCGTGGACCTTTTGTGACCCAACAAATTTCAGTTTTACACATTGAGCATCGAAGCCAATCGCAACCCCATTTTTTCATAAGAATAACTGCACAAGTGGGACAAGCAAGTGCTTCACCTCTATTAACCATTTCTTCTAAAACCGCTGCAGTTCTATCAGAATCTTCATTCGTTTCTTTTGATAGTCTCAATTCCTCTTGATATTGTCGACAATTTTTACCCATGTGTATGACCTTAATTTTGAGGAGAAAATAAAATTATTAATTTAAAAGCAGATAAATTATATCCCAGGATTGCCACAGACCTGGAAAATCTGGAATTGTCGTGGAAATTTTTTTTTTAGTAATGGAAAACCTGGAAATGTGGGGGAATTTTATGAAATAGCATTCTGAAAATTGAATTTCCTCTAGGTATTTGAATCGAAAAAATCTCAAGTTTTTAATAATTTTTGAAAATTTAATTATTTGACTCAATTTATAAAGAATTGACCTTAGATAAAATTTTTTAAAAGAGACTGAAAGTTTTAAGCGATTTTAATTCGAAAATTTTATTGAAAATCTGAATTAAAAAAGTTTCCATAAAATTTTAAAAATTTTTAAGAAAAAAGAAACCTGAAGTTTTTTTTCAAATCTAATAATACTGAAAATTGTTCTTCATTCAATTATAAAATTAATAATACATTGAATAAACTTTATAATAGTTAATAAAAAGTTTATTAACTTCTAATTAAATTTATTAAAGAATTACAAAATCGACTTTTTCAACTTTTTTGTGCCTTAAAGTCGATCCGAAGACTAATTCAATCGAATTTTCATTTCATATAGAGTTTTTATGTAAGCGAATTCTATCTATTAATTGAAAATTAAATAAAAATTTGGCTAAATAAAAGTTCTGCTAAATAAGAATTAAGATAAGTGGAAATTCGATTAAATAAAAAATTCAGATAAGTAAAATTAAATCAATACAAAAATTCCATTAATTAGAAATTCTTTAAAATAAATATCTGTGAAAATTCTGTTAAATAAAAATTTGCTAAAGTAGATATATGAAAAATAAAAATTTCATTAAATGAAAAATCAATTAAACAAAAATTCTTCCGTAAAAAAATTCCATTCATTATAAATTTTTCTTAATAAAATCTGGTTTAATAGAAATTCGATCATCGAAACATGGAAAAAAAAATCATTATTTTTAATTGGAGTGAATTCATTTTGCGATTTCTTGCAAGAAATTAATTTACAGAATATTTTATTGTTATAATAATTTACTTGAAATATTTTTTGACGTAAGTGGCTAAAAATTCATCAAAATAGATTTATATTTGGGTTTGGAATTTATTTAAAAATCAGTCTTTCGTGGCAACCCTGTTATTTTTCAAAAAAAAAAAAGAAATTACCTGACAAGTTAAACAGTTATTCATGTGACACACGGGACAAAAAAAATTGTTGACATTGTCATCGTAAATGCACCATCCTGGACAGTCGGGTGTCTTGCAGTGAAACGCATTATTCCCAGCATTGTTCTCAGCTTGTGCAATGGACTTGGATAGATGTTGCTGATAAACTTCTGGCGCCACAAGCTGTACGTGAGCGTCACCAGCGGATAAATGTACTGTAATTTGCATCGTATCATGAAGCTCGTGACTGACTTACCGCCTTAATTTCTCGTTCTTGAAGTGTTGACTCGCAAGTGTACATCGAATCCCTGTATGGACATTGCACCTCTGCTTCCTCACAGTAAACAATCGTATTGGTAATACACAGCCTAAAGATTAATCAGCCAACAAATTTTCAAATATTAAACCAATTTCATTCAATGACGAGACTTACCGAAAAGAAGGTGGATCACTTTCAGTTTCTACGATTTAGTTTATTAATAGAAATAAAAATTAAGAAACTGAAATAGGCCCACTTGGTATAGACAATTAAAAAGATTTTTCCTAATCAAGCATTTTGTGTGAAAAAAAAACCTGCAAAACGTGTGCAGACAATCCCTTAATGTAACTCCTTCCTGTGGACCGTATGTTACAAAGCATATTGGACACTCGATTGCTTCAGAATTTGGTATTAAATCACAATTCTCCAAGGACATTAATTCTTCATATCGTTCCAATTTTATTATCTCAGGAACGTTTTCTGGTGTTTTATCATTTGTCAAAATTATTTCTAAATTTTCTTCATATTTCTATTGAATTTAAAATATTGACAATTTTAATGTGAAAATATGATGATTTTGACTTTTATAAAAATTACCTTTTGTGTTTCTTCTATTGTCACTTTAGTTTCAGGTATAGTTTCTATTTGTTTAATGTTCAATTTTTCAATTTCCTCCACAGCATTAGATTTTTCAGGCTTAGTTACTTCGTCCGAAGTCATTTCTAATGCTTTAATATAATATTAATAAAAGATTTATTATTAAAATTTGTTAATAATTTTAAACAAAATCAAATTCGTATCTAATTTTCGAAGTCGAGAGGAAATTATATTTTAATTGGTTACTTGATTATTATCAAATAAATATTTATTTGTATCAAATAATTAAATGGTATTTGTTTCAAAATTATTGGTTCGAATATAGTTTTATTTGATTATAAAATTTATTTGGTTCAAGTAAATATTTATTTGATAATAGTCAAGTAACCGATTATTTAAATGAAATATTTTTTTTTTTCAGTGTAAAGTCTAATATTTACCGGGAGCAACAAGATATAAGAATATTGAATCAGTTGTCTGTAATTCTTCTAAAGTTGAATTTTCATTTTCGGCTAAATTTTTACCAATAATCCATCGTTGAATATTCGTTGGTATTTCAAATTCCAGTGAAATTTTTGCTTTTAATTGTGCAACTGTCATATTTAAAGGCAACTAAGAATAATAATTTAGATATTCAAATATTTTTAAAATAATATCGTAAAATTTGTTAAAGAAGGACAAAAATTACCAAAAGTGGAATTGGTCCTTGATGAGCTTCTTTATCCTCAATATACATATTAACATTTAATTCACGTGTATTATTAATTGAACGTTGTCGAATTACTGAGCATTGAATTTTTAATTCTGCAAGTTCTTTAGCCAATTTTGATGCTTGCTGATGATTTCCAGATGCAATTGAGGCTTCCAATTTTTTCAATAACTTATTCACAGCCAGTGTATTCATATTTTGTTTTTGTGAATCATTAAAATTACGTTGTTCGTATTTACCTCCAGCTGAAATATAAAGTTGTAAATTAAGAAAAAAAAATGTTAAGATTATGTGATTGTTGTGATTTTTCATGTAAATATTCTTCTTTATTTCAATTATTTAACAAATTTTTAACTAAAATTCTTCACTAAATTAATTATTTTTAATAATTTTAATGAAATTCTTCACAATTTCAATTATCTTAAAACTATTTTTCAATTAAAATTTTTATGAAATTTAATAATTGTTTATAATTTTTAAAAAATTACCAAATAAAATTACCAAAAATTTTTAATTCAAAATCTCACTTGAAATTGAATTATTTGCAAAAATTTTAATTATTTTTAATGATTTTTACAATATTCTTCAAAAATTCAATTATCTGAAAGCATTTTTCACTTAAAAAGTTTTCAAATTATTGTATTTTTGTTTGCAATTTCTAATAAATTTTTTTAGTGAAATCATCAAAAATTTTTAATTAAAAATCACTTGAAGTTCAATTAATTTCAAAAATCTAAATTGCAAATCTTTGTAAATTTAATTATTTTTAAAAAATATTATCTAAAATTATTTGATAAATTATTTTTAGTTCTGTAAAATTTAATTATTGTCTGAAAATTAACAAAATCTTTTGAAATTCAATTATTTCAAAAAATTTCAATTTTAACTGTTCCATAATTATTATTATTTTTAAAAAAATGTTTATTTAAAAATCTGTAAAACTTGAGATTAAGTATTACCTTAAATTTTTTCGACCATCACAACTAAAAAATATGACAAAATTTTTAATTCGAATAAATTGCTTGAATCAGACTTAAAAAAATTATAAAAATGGAACTTTAAGAATTTTTTTTAGAAATTTGTCCTACTTAAATAAAATTTTGAACATTTGTCTTACAATTACTTCGATTCTGAAATATTCGAATTAAATTTTCTTGATAATATTCATTATAGAATAATTCTCATTACAGAATTAATAAAAATAAATTTAATATCTTATAACATTAGTTATATAAAGTAAAATATTTATTAAACAATTCAATTTTGTAAAAATAAAAAAAATCGACTTTTTCGACTTGTTTTTGAAATATAAATCGACTAAAACAATTTTTTTTGTGCCTGAAAGTCGATCCGAGGCCTGGAAATATTTAATAGATTGAGTTAAAATTTTGCGGAGAACTTAAAAATAGTATATAGATTTGTTTTCATGTGTCAGATTTTATTAAAAAATTTTCAAAAAAATTTATTTTTAAAAATTTGCACATTTGAGGAATTTACCAAAATTGTAGTGCCAACATATTGTATTTTTTTTAAATACTTATGGGCGATTCCATGTGAGATTCACATATGACATTTTAAATTCGGTAAATATTTTGTTTTTCGATCTTTATGGAAAAAAAAGGTTTACGTATTTTTTTATTTTTTTATAAGTGCTCAAATTTTCGAGTTATGAATTTTTAAAAATCTGATTTTTTCGAGTTTTTTTAAAATACACCTAATTTCAATGACATCTAACTCTAAAAGCATTGAATTTACGAATTATGACCAACATACAAAAAAGTTTCAGTTTTTCATCGACTTTCAAAATATGTTAACGAAAAAAAAAATTTTGAATTTGTTTATAAAAAAAAGAGCAATTTTTTATAAACAAATTAAATTTTTTTAAATTTAGGGGCAATTTTTTTTTTGAAGTGGGCCTGATGATCCTTTTGTTTATATAATTTATTTATTTATTTATTGAATGTATACGGGTAGAACCCATTCGTACAAAGTACTATAAATAAGAAATTTTATAACAATGAAAAAATTCAGTTGGCCGCATTAACATTATTGTTGTTATTATCGTACAATAGGTTACGAAGTTCTCTTATGAAAGAGTTTAAAGAAATACCAAAAAAATTGACATTACTATTGAACTGATTTGCCTCCCTACGTAGTCTGTTAATTACAGAATTATCTAAATAGTCAGTTCTGCAAAAAGGAACATTAAATAATTGTGGATGTCTTGCGGATCTTTGTGATATATGAAAACCAAATAAAAGTAAAAGTTCTGAGCAGTTAATAATACCGTTAATAATTTTGAATAATTTATTTAAAAAAAAAATTTACTTTTTTTCTTTTTTTTTTATTTTTCAAAATAAAATCTATTTTAATTTGCTTTTCTTTGAGTTTACTAAAAGATCCTAGTGCCCAAAACACTTTTCATTTCGAAAAATAAAAAAAACACGAAAAAAAGTAAAAAAAAATTTTTAAACAATTTCGACGCCTCCCGTTGATAAGATGCCCGTTCATTTGTCAGAATAATAAAATGCCAACTCGAGCTCAGTTCAATATGAAGCTAGTCCATTTGCCAAAATAATAAAAGGCTAACTCAGTTTCCGTATAATATAATCCTATCTCGCATTAAATTCGAATTCAAGTTTTCGTAAATTAAAAAAGAAGTTTAAGTCCATCAGAATATTAATTCATACTTTTTAATGATTAATTACTGATTAATAATTATTAATAAAATAAGAAATAGAATAAAAAACAAATAATAAAATAAATGAAAATAAAAAATATTATTAAAAAAGAAAAAAATTAATTTAGCCTTGAATTATTTATTACAAATATTATTTTTTTTATTATAATTTTTTTATTGATTTTTTTATTTTGTTAATAAAAAAATTATAATAAAAATAATATTACTATAATTCAAGGCTAAATTAATTTTTTTCTTTTTTAATATAATATTTTTTATTTTCATTTATTTTATTATTTGTTTTTTATTCATTAATTAATCATTACAAAATAATCAACGGGAGGCGTCGATTTATATAAACAAAAAAAACATCAGGCCCACTCCAAAACTTATTACAAAATTTTCCTCTTATTTTCATGTGTGTAAAAATAAAACAAAAATTTTAAAAATCGCCCCTAAATTAAAAAAAATTTAATTTGTTTATAAAAAATCGCTGTTTTTTATAAACAAATTCAAATTTTTTTTTTCGTTAACATATTTTGAAAGTCGATGAAAAACTGAAACTTTTTTGTATCTTGGTCATAATTCGTAAATTCAATGCTTTTAGAGTTAGATGTCATTGAAATTAGGTGTATTTAAAAAAAAACTCGAAAAAATCAGATTTTTAAAAATTCATAACTCGAAAATTTGAGCACTTATAAAAAAATAAAAAAATACGTAAACCTTTTTTTCCATAAAGATAAAAAAAAATATATTTAGCGAATTTAAAATGTCATATGTAAATCTCACGGGGAATCGTCCTTATGCAATTTTTTTTAAAAATAAACTTTTTGAAGAAATTTCAATAAACTCTGGCGACAACGAATTCTTATACTATAAATTTTTTGAGTTCTCCAAAAAATTTTAATTCAATCGAGTATTTTGCGAGAGAGCCTGCGGAGAATATTTATTTGTATTTATTTATATTTATTTATTTATAACAATTACATAATCTTAAATAGAAATAAAAAATTTTACTCACTGAGTGGAAGTGATATTTCTTGTTGATTCAATTTAGCAGAAAGAGGATAATTTTTTTTGTCCACTTCTTCTTTTCTCTTTAATAACAATTCTGAAGGTTGTACATTTATTATTGGTCTTAATGGAAGTATTATTTTATTCGAACAAGACGGTTGTTGAGTTACATTAGCATAAATATTCTCAAGCCATGGTGTTTTTACAAGTTTAATTGCTTCAATCTGATCAAATTCCTTTGGCCTTATTAAATGAAATTTATTTATTTTATATTTCGTTCCAGTTTCATATTCACTTTTTGTGAATGTCTCTTGATTTGTAATTTGTCTTGATGTTGATGGCAAATTACTGACTTTTCTCACATTACCACTTGTTTGAACTGCCGATGATACTTTGAGTTTTTTTTCCTCACGCACGTCAGTTATAAATTTCTCTTGGCTTGCTAGTCGTGTTTTAGATTTTTCTAAAATATTTTCTTTTAAATTAGTAGTAGTAGTAAATGCATTGAGATCATTAAAAGTACTTGTGGAAGGTTTATTATTTACATTAAAAATTTCTGAATGATTGTCAATAATTTTTTTTACCTTTGCTCGTTTAGGTAACGAGTGCTTCATTTCTTTCAAAATCTCCTTCAAATCCATTGTAGCAGGATCGTCTTGTTTATTTAATATTGATAAATTTTCTTTACTATTTCTATTTTGATTGTGAATTAATTCTTTCTCAAGTGTTTGTTCAACATTATTTGTTCTTTTTCCAGTCTCTTTTGATTCAATTAAAAAATTCAATATTTGATCAGAAGTGCTTGCTTTTTCAATTTTTGAATTATTAATTCTGCTTTTTTTAATATTATTCTCTAATTGTTTATCAATTTCATTAAATATTAAATCTAATTCTCTAATTATTAACGGTGGTGGATTATTGTCGTGAAAAATTTTTTTATTCAACGAATATTTTTTATTAAACAATGATTCTGTATTTTGTATTTCGTTGGTTCCATTTCTTTCTTCTTTTTGTGAATTTTCTGGTTCGATAATTTTTTCAATTTCCACTTGATCATTTTTATTTAATTCAATTTTATTTTGATTGAAGTGTGATTTGGGTGATGTTTGATGTGGAATAAAGTATCTGGAAATATCTTGTTTCTGTTCAATTTTTTGTTCTAAACAAGAATTTTTGCTTTGTACTCGAATTCTGTCATTATTTCTTTGACTCGTTGGAGAATTTTTGGAAAAATAATTTGTATTCACTGTCACTTTTGAGAGATTAGTTATGGCATTAAATTTTGATATCAAAGCACGAGTACTTTTTCGAGGCGATGAGGTAGATTCTACCATATCTTGAATTTTTTCTATATTCAAATTTTCGTCTTGTAATGCCTTTGCTTTGGCTTGTTCTTCACGAACAATGGCAGCGGCTTCTTTATCAAGTTCACTGATGTTTGTCAAAATGGAAATACCTGATTTTCGTTTATCCCTTCGTCTATCCTCGGAATTTCGTTCTGTACGATGAAAAAAATTTAATTTTGAAAGTGAACCATCAAAAGGAAAATAGGGACTCGAGGAATCTTCTTTCTTTTCGCTTGACGATGAAATATCTCTTTTTACTGTATTTGAATCACGATCGAAAACACTTCGTTTATACCATGGACGAGGCATTGTTCTATCAAATGATTTTGAATGAATTTCTTTTCCTTGCGAAATTTCAACATCCGAAATTGTTTCTTCTGAATTAATATTTGTACAATCAGTGGAATTTTTTGGCAGGAGAATTCCGTCTCGCAATATTAATGTATCATTACTAATTGTAGGTAAAATTTCCTTTGTGATGTCACCGTTTGTTTTAATGATTTTATCAATTTTTAAATTTTCATCTGGAGGTGGTGGAGCTCGTCTTCTTGTACGTTTTTTCGTTGTTTTAAATGACTGTTTTGCATTACTAGTTGGTATAAAATCAGGAGGATTTGGTGCTCTACGTTTACCTTTTACGTGTACTTTTTTATTTTTTATACAAGATTTTTTCCAGTTATTCACCGGAGCAGGAATGTTACCACATGAATTAAATGAATTTGATGGTTGAAGTGAATATCTCTCTGTGATGTCTTTTTTTTGTAAAAATTTATTTGGTAGTGTATAATTGATATTGGTGAAATTTGAATTGTTAGCTGTTTTTTCATATAATTTCACAGCACCCGAACCAAATGGACCAATGTCAATTTGTGGAAAATTAAGATTCAAATCATTGCACTCTTGAAATTCACCAGCTTGAAATGCAAAACTATGAACAGTTGTTGTACTATAAAATGTTGATACACTATCGGTACTTGATGAGAGATTTTCTTCTTCGAAATTGATATTTTTATTTGAAATTCGCTTACGATGTTTATCAATTGAATCACGATTGCCACGTTTAAGCCACTTGAATAATGAAAAACGATTATTTCCTCTGACAAAAGATGCTTTTGTTTCGGCTCTATTAAAGGGTAATACTCCGCTGCCTATTTCTGATTTCTCGACAGAAGAAATTTCTTGACTTGGTGTACCATTGAAATACTCACACATTCTCTATCTTTCTCTCTCCTTCTCTAATTCTCTCTTTCTCACTGCACTACTGTTTTAAAATGTATCACAAAATTGTTAGTTGTCAGTCCGTCTTTTTCGGTCTCTCTCTCTCTCTCGCTCTCTTCCCTCTCTTCTCTATGATATCGCGATTTCATCAAATTTTGCAAAAATCTTGAAAGCACACTCGACACTATTTATTCATTATTATTTTCACAAGTCACTTATGGGTAATCTATTTTTTAAAATCAATTGAAAATTATTAATTATGATTATAATAAATACACATTGAAAAATGAAAAGCACTAATGATTTTTGTGGAGAAAGAAGGTGATGTTGCTGAACTCACGACAAAGATATACGTGAGTTCACTATTAATAGAAGGATCACGCTTCTCCCGGCGTGGGTTATTTTCAAGTCCACTTTATACTTGGAAAGAGAAGTGATATATTTCTTAAAAATATCTTATTCACATATCAAATCTTTGATTTTTTTCACAAATTCTTTTATACAAAGAAATTTCTTATGATGAATTATTTTTTTTTGTATGAAACATTTTTGCAGCAAAAAAATATGATTATGATTTTTAAGAAAGGGAGAATTTTTTGTTCTCTACTAGTAAAAATAAATTTAAAAAAGAAGAATTTTAATTTCAAAAAATTTTTAATAATTTACAAAATTCAACATTGTCAAGTTAAAAAATAATGCATTTAAAAATATTTGTTGATTTTCCACATAAAAATTATGGGATTTTTTTTGCAAATAAAAAAAAAATATATTAAAAACTAGTAACTAATTTATGAAAATAATTGTTTTCAAGAAAGTTATATTTATTCTCAAATAGTTTCAGTGATATTTAATTATAACTATTTTTACAAAAAATGACATGTTTTCTATATCAAAAATTTTATAAATACATGAAAAAAAAATAATTCTCAAAATTTAATTTTTTTTATTTATTAATTTTAATTCTTATAAATTTATAATTTAAAAACAAAGTCAGTCGTTAAGAATAATTTTACCGTTGCGAGTTTAAGTGTATATATTTAACTCTCAGTCTACCATTGACCCTTGTTTTATTGTCTAGATAACAAACCTGTTAAGTTCAATACCAAAACATCAAATAGAAATTTTTAATTTAATTTTTTTAAATTAGTAATTTTTTCAAAATACGTATTTGAACGAAATTATCAGATTTCCTCTTTTTATTTAATGAAAACAGAAAAAAATGAAACTACTAATTTTTAAAGTAGAAAAACAAAACTATTTATAACAAAAATTCGATTTATTTGGATACAACATTGGTAACTTACAATTCTTGTTTGTACAAAATAGCACATAAAAATAAAATATAGAAAATATTTCAAAGGCAATAATATACCTTTTACATTAATTTTTTGAAAAATTGTAACATCTATTATTGAATTTAAAAATATTCTCGTATCACATATTATACAAATAATAAATCCACACCCACCCATTTGTTACGATTATTTTTTTTTCTTTTGAGCGAAGTTAATGAGTAACAATTATAATTAATGCTTAGTGACTTTCGATGATGTTGAAAATTCAATTGTGACTTATTACATTTGAATAATTGATTATAATTAATTCAAAGGCACTTTACTTTTCTTCGGTATATTCGTTTTATATATTTTATATTTAGTAAAAATCATTTTTATTTTAAAAAAATAAAATAAAATAAAAAGCAAATCGCACAATATAAGTAACTTTTACAGCCTTTTAATCGACATTTTAATCTCAAAATTGAATTATTTATACGACTGAATAATCTTCTAGGAGAGTTTCGCCAAAGTGTGTAACTACATAATCGTGATAATACATCATAATGCATAAAGGCTGTCCAATAATGAGACTCGCCCAAACGACAATATTCCCCCATCTTGCTCCACAATGTTTTTCTACCATTTTACTTAAAACAGATAAAGGTATCTGAAAGCAAATTCAATGTCGATTTATATGGTAAAAATTCACATTAACTTGGCTAGATTTTTCTTTTCTTTCGTACTCAACCAAAAAAAGATCCATGATTTTTTTTTCTACTTTTTTTTAACAAGCCGTTTACGAGATATGAATATTTTTAGATTTAGTACATTTTTTTTAAATTGCATCAATTTTAATTTTTTTTTTTCAAATTATGTGTTTTTAATCAGATTTTTCAAAAAGTTATAAACATTAAAAAAAGGTTCTTAAATTAAAAATTTTGAAATATTCATATTTTCTAATTGATAAAAAAAAATTCGAAAAAATGGAATATTTTCTCGTAGAATACGAAAAGATAAAAAAAAACTATCATCTTAGATGTTGAGTTAATGTTGAGTTAAGAGAAAATATGTAAATTATAAAATAAATGATTTACCTGCCCCATCATTCCCATGAACGCCCAAATTTTAAATGTCTTCAGAGGTACGCTGACAAGATATTCATGAAAAAAAGCACTGATGAAAAAAACAGTGACACTGGCAGTAGTTCTGCTGTAACCCATTTCCACTACTGGAATATAAAGATGTCTGAAAATTAAATAAAAATTTATGTAGGTACGTACTTAATTTTTTAAATTAAAAATTAATTAATTAAATTTGAAATTAAAAATCCCTAATTTTTACAAAACGTACGAGAAAAATACGTCATTTTCACTAAAAGTCCAAATATGGCACCGTTTTTGCAATAAAAAAAATTAGTAGTCGCATTTTAAAAAAATACTTTTTTTTTACTGTGGTGCCTTACTCTCTAAATCTGAATTAGTAAAAATGTTTACTAATTTGAATTAGTGACTCACTTTTTGCTTCTGAATTAGTAAAATTTTACTAATTTAGAAGCAAAAAGTGAGTCACTAATTAATTTTTAATAAAATAATACTAAATAATTTTTTTCGAAAACGTATACTTTATGAGATATTTGACCGTTTGACTTTTGGAACACCCTATATAATAAAACAGGGCATTTTTCTTTAAAAGTTCTAAATTAATAAGTTTTGTAAAAAGAGAAAATACTTAGTTTTAAATAATTTTTGAGTTAGATTCATTTTTAAAATTACTATGAATTTAAATTTTCAAAATTTAACTGAAATTCTGAATAACATGCAATAATTTCCATAAATTAAATTTGAAAAAGTTTTAAGAAAAAAATTCATGATGAACATGAAAATTTTTTTAAAACTGAAAACTATTGTTAATTAAATTCTGAAATACTCTATAAATATATCAATAATAGTATAAAAATAATAATAAAAAATTTATAGTAATTTAAAAAAAAAGTTGCCTAAAAGATCAATTCATAGAAAATTGTTAAATAATAATAATAATAATTTATTTCAGCCTATTTGGCCCAGAAACGAACTTGCTTTATATTTATCTAATCTCATTCATTCATTTATAGTAGTCTCTCATTCTTATATATTTTAATAATATTTTATATTTATATCCTATATAAATACCATTATTCAATATGTATATTAACATTTTTGGTGTACTAAGAGAAAATTGTTAAATAAAATAATTTTAAAAAAATGTTCAATCAGAAAAATTCTCAAGATTCGAGCTTATAAATTTAAAAACAAAAATCTAATTCAAAAATAAGTTACGAAAAATTATTCAAAACTTAATTTTTTTTTATATTAATAATGGTTCATAATTTTCATTCTTTTAGGAATTTTAAGTATATTATTTAAATTATAGATTTGAAATCCACAATTCAGAAACAAAAACTAGAAATTTTGGTACGTAAATTGGTGATTTTTTTCTTTTCCTGTACGTAATTTTTAATGTTGAAAATGCTTCGACGCCTGTTTGATATTTTTATTGTTCATAGTTAATTTTAATATAAAGACTGAGAATAAGTAAATGACTCACCTTATAGCCCAACGATGTACAGGCATATTCCAACTTCTCCAAAAAGTATCAATATTATTTGCATTCCACCAATCGCAATAAAAATTTCTATCTGCAAAGTGTAGTAGTTCACCCATTAAATTGAGATAAGAATGAAATGACAGGTAAAAGAAGCACAGCCACATTAAATGATTTGGTATCTGTAAAAATTCCCATAGAAATTCAAATATATCTAATATTTAAGAAAAAAAAGTTTTTTTTATTAGTGTGGTAATTTTTTAAAAGGATCTGGAAAAACAAAAAAAAAACATAGTTCCGTTATTTATATATTTTAAATCTTTCTCTCTGCGTGACTCTTATTTTAATATTTTTTTTAATTAATATAAAATAATAATAAAAGCTAATATTAAACAGATCTAGGTTTTCTATGTAAAAAAAAACTTTTTCTCTAATTTGGTTTTTTTTTTTTTTTTTTTTTTTTTAATTGTTATAGGTGAAATATCGCAGATGTAGAATATTAATGTTTTACAAAAACTATAAGAAAAATTAGCAGCGTTTATTGACGAAAATGAAAATAGAATTTATTAAAAAATTGGCCTTTAAGAATAATAATTATAACAAAAATAAAAAAATATTTCTAACATTTTAAATTATGACAAAATTTCCGATTTTTTTATCATTTTCTCTGACTTTTTTTTCTGATTTTCAAGACATATCAATTCTGTTAAATAATGTAGACACATATGTCATTGAGTACTTACTGCTAATTTAAGTAGACGTTCGGAAGCCTTAGCGACGTCCATATTCTGTAAAATAAATAAGAAACAAAAGTTGATTTATCTACTATTGCAGAAAATTGATAACTTTTTATAAATTTGCTATTAAATATTATGTAGCAAACAAATAATAATAATAATTATAAGAACAACAACAACATCAACATCAATAATAATAATAAAAAAAATAATAATAATAATAATAATGCGAAATTAGGAAAAGTTGAAAAACTTACACTAAAAGGAATCAAAGAATTTTTAACAGATGGAACCATCCATTGTTGAAAAAGTGACATGACAACTTGACAGCCAACAAGAACTTCGAGGATACGTTTTATTAAAAATCTGTATTAAAAAGAAAAGAATAAAAAATAATAAAAAATTTGCGTAAATTAAATTAAAAGAATACTGATAAATTACTTTCTTCTCAAACATATTTTTAAAAGAGTTAACAAATTTTTAATTTTAAATAAATATTTCTTAAAAAAGTTTACTTGTTTGTTTCTGGAAAACATTAATGTAGAAATTATATTATAATTTATATATAATATATATATGGGCAAATCCACAGAACCGGCGGATTTTTACTTATCAAGATGAAAATTTTCCAAATAGCAAGCACACCTTTTATTTACTAGTTAAATTTCGATAAATTTTTTTTTATTTTTAATTTTTAGACGTTATAAATTGAAAATATAATTTGGCGTTTGCATACAAAATTATAATAATGTCTTTATATAATCACACATGTTTTCAACTCATCATATTTTATCCTGTAGTTGTGCTACTGAAAAAAGGCTAAGTTGAAAATGGTTCACGCTTAAACATAGAGTGATAATTATTGGAATATTTTCTTTAATTCTGATTGCACTCTATTCTATGATACATACATTTGTTCGTCTGTTCACAAGAAATAAGCTCCAATTTGAAAAATTCAAATCGAATAATCGCCGCAAAAGATATTTACAAAAATGTATAGACATTTCATTATTATAAAATAATGAGTAACGCTACTTTCAACGACTATCATTTCTTTTTATTTAAGAGCACATATTTTTTATTACTTTCAAAACATTCTTCAATAAGTAAACTATAATTCACCACAGTTTGGAATTGTTCGGATCTATGCCGAACAAGTTATACCTATAAGAATTAAAATTTATACCTGGAGTAACACCGTAAATTTCATTTTTTAAGTTACTTAATTCGATTTAATTTTTTATAAAAGACTAGAAGGTTCACATTTATTCAATTTTCTTATTTCAATAGGTTCTCAGAGATATTACAAAATGGTTGAAGTATGAAAATAATTAATATAATACTTCTAAAATAGAAAAATATGTGAGTAACATGAAATCGGCCGGTTCTGTGGATTTGCCCATATATATAAAAAGATATAATGAAGTACCTTTTACGAATTCTTTCAGTCCTCGGAAAATTCAATTCGTAACAGAGAGTTGGTGCGAGGATGTAATAATATAAATCACGAAGATTTAAATTATCTGGATACTGTACTAGAGTTATACCACCTTTTGTTTCATATTTTGCATCGTCTGATTCGTAACCGTTTTGTTTTATTCCCGAAGCTATGTAAATAAAAAGGAAAAATCATATAAAATTATATAAAACTACAAAATAATTAAGACGAAATAAATCCTATCAGATATTCTCAGTTTTTTCAACAGAAACTCACTTTTCAATTTTTAATCCAATATGAGGGATTTCACGTGGAAGTGATTAAGGTGAAAAAATTTTTCTATTAAAACTCACTCATTCTTAGGCAATTTTTTCAATTAAATAATGAAATCAAATTTTTTTTCATTTTTAGTTTTGATACTTTTTTTGACGCCCTTTCAATTGGTAAAATGAATTTTTGAAAAAAAAATGAAAATAAAAAATAAATTTGACTCTTTTTGGGTGAAAAATACGTTTTTTTTTTAATATTAATTTTTTTTTTGGCAAAAATTTCTTTTTTTTCAAAAATACATTTTATCAATTGAAAGAGCGTTAAAAAAAACTATCAAAACTGATAATTGAAAAAATTTTTTTAATTATTTAAAAAAAGTTATTATGTAAAAGATAACTTTCCCCCACAAAAAATATTTGTCCAAATGAAAATTTTTTTTTTTACAAAGAATTATCATTCAATATAACTACAAATTATCCCAATTTGAACACGATTGAAGAAAATTTTCCCACAAATATATTTAACATTTTTATATCAAAATGCGAATGAAATTTTTGAATGATAATTTGAATTTTGTCATATTCCAGAATTATTAGTTTCAGTTTTAATATAGAATCAGGTAAAAAAAAAAATTTTTTATATTATAATTTTTCCAATTAAATTAAAAAATTCTTTTTTTCAAAATTTTTACCAGGAATGTTCAATTATTATTCCGGTTTAATAATACAGTAATTTTATTGAAAGAAAATAATATTACTCACATTGTAAATTATTATATGAAAGTGATTGTCTTCGTATTTTGCTATTATTTGTGTTTTTTCCTTTAACACTGAGACGACACCACATGTTCACTTGAATGTAAGACCATAATTTCAGAAAAAGCATGGCATATAACATGCATACATACATTGCTCCAACTTTAAAAAGAAAACAATTGCATTTTTTAAATTTCTAAAATTGTTTTTAAAATACATTTTTTACGTTGCATTTTGAAATATGTAGAAAAAAAATTGTTATTTTTTTCATTCTTTACAATTTAGGGATAATGTAATATTGCTGCAATTTTAAGAAAAGTTCTCAACGTTTATGATCAATTTTGTTTTTATTTTTTTAGTTAAAAATAATTTTTAAACATAAATAAATTTTTTTTTTTTAAATTCGTTTATCATCAACGTTGTCAACTTCGCATTTGCTGAGGGGCAAATTTTCTACACGAACATATAGGGTAAATGCACAAATTACGGCGCGATTCGAGTCAAAACACCTTTGAAATAGAAAATTCGAAATTTCTATTGTTGAAAGACCATTTAAGACTTATTAAACTAAAAACTTATGTTATTTAGATATTAAAAAAAATTTAAACTTTATAAAAATCGATTATTTAAGCAAATATGAGAAATTAAAACAAATACCGTAATTTTCTATTACTGCGCGTTTGTATCAGTTTTGGTGTTTCAATTACGGTGACCAAAATTACGTCTATTTTGAAGATACATTGCTCACCGTAATTGAAGCTAATGGAAATCTTAAAAATGTTTCAATTACGGTGAGGGTAAAAATTTGATCTCAAAATTAATAATTGTTTAAATGTGCATCTTTATTATTGTATCAAAAAAAGATTAAAATAATTTTGCTTCCTCTCCTCACAAGGAAGCTTTGTATTCGTGACGATTTTCGATTTTTTAAAAATGGGTTATATGGGCTTATTTTTATCTAGAATGCATATATATTTGAAGTTTTAAACAAATGTCCGGATGTATGTGTGTGTGTTTATGTGTGTATGTCACAAAATCTTGTGTACAAATTATCTCTAATACACTTCGATGAATTGTCCTGAAATTTTATAGGCTTATTACAGTCATCAATACCTAAAATCAGACTAAAGATTTTCCAAAAAATATCCACATAATTTTTTTTTATGCCACTTTTTCAAAAATTCGAAAATACGTTTTTTAACCAAAAATTTTTTTACACTGTAAATATAATTTTTTTATCCAAAAAACTGATTTCTCGCATTAAAACAAATTGATTAATCTATATAAAGTCTATATTTTACTCAAAATCTATAAATTATATCATTTTTTAATTTTTGAAAAAAATTTTTTTTTTCGTATTTTTTGAAATAACTTTTTTTTTCTTGAAAATTTTTAATAAATTTTGTCAAAACCGTATTCCTGGCATGAAAACGAATCGATTGATGTATATAAATTTTACATTTTACCAATATTTGTAAAATTAATCGCTATTTTAGTTGTAGGTAATCCTTCTTTTAATCTCGAATATAAGTGTATCAGATGAGGAAGCTAAATGGTCATGAATTGAACACCTTGTTTACATTCTCATCATATATGAGTAAGTATTCATTTTAAATCATTTTGCAACATAGTTATATTAAATATAATTGTAATAATAGTTATTTTTTATGAACGCGCCGTAATTGATGCACTTACCCTAGTATAAAATATTAAAATGATAGTTTTTTGTAGAAAAAAAAAATGTACTGCTTACTCAAACTGAAACCGGAATCTTTAACGTGAATAACAACCATTGGCATTAGCACCATTACAATAAGATTCACAACATGGAAAACCATTCCTGGACCATGCGGTATAATATCCTGTAATTAAATTTAAAAAAAAAATATTAAAAATCATACAGTAAATCAAAAAGAAATATAATATAGATATGAAATGGAAATTAGTGGAAGTTTATAAAGAGTATACCATACCATAGCTAATCCCTTTTCAATCAGCAGGCAAAGCGATATTGGTACTGAAGAATCTAAACCATAAAATAGTTGGAAGATTGTTAATTATAGTTTGTGAAATTATACAAGAGATGCCAAAAGTACGATACCATTTTTCAAATTGGAAATGAAACTTAAGATAATTTTTTAGACTATATCTACATATTTAGAAAATCCGAATTCCATAGTCGAGATTATACAATCTACATGCATCTAATGCCTTCTTGTTTTCTTATATTTTCTATATAAGAGACTTATTCGAAAATTTTGTACGAATATTTTATTATTTTAGGGACCATCTCAAAATCCACCCCCAAGAAATTAAAAATTTTTTTTTTAAAAATGCCGATTTTGAGAAAAAGTGAAAAATATTTTTGATTTTTTAAAAAAGGGTTAAATTTGGAATATTTTGAAAAACGTTTTACCATTCGAGAGAGCAGGAAAAAAACTATTTGAAAACAAATAGGTCAAAATTTGTTAATCTTGAGAAATCTGTTGGATCACTTGAGAAATTTTGCCCCATATGTAACCTCGCCCATTTTCGAATTAGTTTAAAGGGTTTAAAGATAAAAAAACAAGAAAAAGTAACTTATAAGACTACATGCATACATTAACATATTTACAAAATTAAACAGATAAAAAATGTTGACTTAAAAATATTTAAAATTGAATTAATTATTTTTACCTAACCAATATGATGGTATATAAAGTGGATCACAAAACAATCATTATGAATTTTATATCTATATAACATAGAAATGCATTAACAATGCAGTACACTTACACATAATTAATAAAAAAGAAGGATGTTCTTTTCCTCCGTCGTTTTTCCCACTTAAAAACATAAACCATTGCACTGGATCCACTCTTATTCCATATCTAAAATTTTTAATTATTTAATACACAATTACTGTTTTCATTAAATTAAAAAGCAAAAAAAAGTATTATTGAAATTCAACTAAATAATAGTCAATTTCAGTTTCTTTGTTTTGTAATGAATTTAATAGAGTTAGATAAAAAGGAATATAAAATTAGTATTTCATCAGTACGTTTGAAAAAATTATATTGTATATACATATATGGTGTAATTATTACAAGTAATAAATAGGAAATTTAAAAGTAATAATATTTACAAAATATTATAATTAAGTGTAATAATTATAATAAGATTTTAAATGAAAACTATATTACAGTAAATTTTTTAGTAGTTTTAACTTCGTTAAATTTAATTACAATATAATTTTCTTTTATAGAAGAATAATAGTTTATTCGAATTTTTATTTGATAGAACTTTCATTTGTTCGAACTTCGAATAAACTCCGCAGAAACATTTTGGCGCAAATTTTAACATTAAACAATCTATTTTTTCTAAGTAATTTCTTATTGGATAATTTTAAAATTCGCAACTAAAAAGTTTCTAACAGAAATTAATAAAAACAAATGAAAGTTGTGTTAAAATGAAAATTCAAACAAATAGAAATTCTGCCTGAAGTGAATTTTCTGTTATATAAAAATTCTGTAATATAAAAAATCGGTTTAATGGAAATTCTGTCAAAAAAATAATTCAAACAAATATATATATATAAATTGCGTCTATAAGAAAATTCTATCAAATTAATTTTAGGCATAATTTATGCGTCTCGTTTTTTTATATATACCTTATATAAATAGTTTTCTTATTAAGAAAAACTTACTTTATAAAATTTTCCAAAAGTAGTCGTATCCCACCAATGCCTAAAAGTAAGAAGCCCCAATTGACAAATCCCGTGAAATTATCAAAGCCGGAACTCCAGGAAAAGAGACTGTCTCTTGGTCGGTGACATCTAAGTTGCAATGAAAAAATAAATAAAAAAGTATCAACTTTTTGTGTTCATAAAATGAACACTTTGCTTCCCCATGGAATTTTTTTGTGATCAATTTATGGCAACTTATTTAGTATTATAATAATTTTAAGAGGGTGTTAAGTTGTATTTTTGGGTATTTGCAGAGATAGTTTTTAAAAATCAATAAAAACTTCGTATTATTTCACAATAAAAGGTTTAATAATAGGTCAATTGATTCGTTTTTAAATATTCTCCAAGTTGTTCATAATACTTTTAAAGATACATAAATATTTTTTAATAAATGAGTCAAAAAGGCAGGTTTTTCAAAATTTTTCAATTTCAAAATGTTAATAACTCTGGATAAAATAACAGTAAGATATTCGCTAATAGGTTAAAAGATGCGTCCTGAAAAACTCTATGAAACTAGAGATAAATATTTATTGGTGTCAATACATTTTTTTTAAGTTATGGGCAAAAAACGTTTTTCTTTAATTTTTAAAAATTCAATAACTTTGAACAAAATATCAGTCAAATGTTCGCTAACATCTCAAAAGATGCGTCTTAAAAAACTCTACAAAATTAAAGAAAAATATTCATAGGTGTCCTAACATTTTTTTTAAAGTTATGGGCAAAAAACGATTTTTCAAAAATTTTAAAATGCAAAAAAATAATAGTTAATCTTTATTAATATTGCTTAAAGCACTCTCATTATTTGTCCGCTAGTGAGATCTACAATTTAAAAAAAATTTATCCCTTGAGCTCTTATAGTATTCGAGATATTTAAGAAAATGTAGTGTATATACATATATATATACACACGCACGGAACGACATTTTTTAAAAATGTGATTTTTGGATTCCTGAGGTCGAAACATGTAAAGATACATCAAAAAATCAAGTTCGAAAAATTTCAGTATTACAATGCTTCCTCCATGAGGAAGCAATATATTTTTTTCTTGAAGCAAAAATACAAAAAAATTTGGTAAAAAGCTTTAATTATAATTATGATATCCAATACACCCTAAAAAACTGATGTTAATTTTAACCGAGAAGAGTAAAACAATGGTTTTAATTTTTTTTTCTTATTTCGTATAAGGCCGAAATTTTCCCTTACAGGAATTGCGATTTATTATTTTTCCATCTGGAAATCATTTTCCTTTATTGTGTATAACTAAAAAATTATAATTTAAAAATTGCAAAAAAAAATTTTCATGCGTTAATAAATTATTTCTAAAATCGAAAAAATAACGAAGTCAACTAATTTTATAATATATATGATGTATTCCACGCCAAATTCGAAGTTCATCTGCAATTGCATCTCCGATTTTTTTGAAACTTTTTTTTCTTTTAGTTGGCTTTTAGTTGGCTAATTGAGACTAGCTTCCATGATTTTTTTCAAATTTTTTTAGCATGCCGTTTTCCTGATATGAATTTTTCAAAATTTCAGAATTTTAATGACTTTTAATCTTTAAATGCTCATAACTTCCTTAAAAATTTATCAATTTAAAAAGTTTTTTTTAATGTGTGTTTTTTCTTTTCAAAAAAAAAGATTCCAACATTTTTTTTCAAATGATATTACTATTAAATTTTTAAGTTTTAATGATAAAAAGTACTTTTTCTCAAGATCGCTTTTTTTTCAACATTTTTTCAAAAAAAACTACTTCCTTTTACGAAAATTTTAAGCCTACTTCGATCGTGGGCAAATGATTTTTACATTTTCGAAAAAAATTTTGAATTTTTTAAAAATATTTTTGGTTTTTTTTATACTACGTACTTTTATGTATTTTGATGAGCTGATTACGAAAATCATAGAGACAATACCCGAAAATTTGATTTTTATGGTGAAAACCATAAAAAATGTCCTAAAATTTATGGTTTTTTTCGTTTATTAGGTAAAATATGCAAAACTAAAAAAAAATTTAAACTAAAGTTATAGATCTTATTAAAATACATTTTTTATATCTTATGCAGTTTAACATAGAATTTACGTAAGTAGCTGGTTAAGTATAGGTAGTTATTTACAAAGATTTACAATTTCTAAACTGTAAATTTTCGATTTTATTTCATAATTTGTCAAAATAGATATACATTAAATTTCCTATTAATGGAAAATTAATCATTAAAAACAAAATCCTATTCAAATCGCTACATTCCGATTAGAAATATCAATTATCAATCCACGCATTCTTAAAAACTCCAATTCATTTAATAATCTTGTTTTCATAGGCAAAAATGTAGAAAAAGTAAAAATTTCATTTTTGAAAACATACTCAATACGTATACAAAAAACAGTGTGACCAATACAGAAATATTTTGAACCGGTAAAGAATTATAATAATAATTCTAATAGGTTATTATTAAAATGGATCATCGATTTTTAAGTAACATATTATGATAATCACATATATATTATGAAATCGACCGGTTATGCGAATTTGTCCATATAAGTTACTCCAGAGAGAAAGGAATAGTTTTGGGCCAACCATGGAGTATTGATAAAGTACCATAAATTTATATTGCAATGTCCACAATAGGCTTTTTACATCATTGATGTGTCAACATTATTCTGACGCAATTAACGATTAGGTTAATTTACCTCAAATTTAGAAATTTTCCATTTATGTGTCAACAATAATCTTTGGTTGCGCCAACTATAGAATAGTTGTCAACTATAGAAGTATGGAGGTAGTATATAAAATTTAGAGAACGTATATTTATCAAATAAATAAACTATTCTCTTTTCAAGAAAAAAATGTTATTTTATATAATTGTAAAGGATTTTTTTATTTCAAACATTCAATAATTTTATCACGTGCTTCAAAATAATATAGACTGCAGTGACGTTACATTCGATCTTTGTACTGATTGAAAAAATGTTAATAAAAAATATAAATGTATTTGTAAGTGGATGTACCCCTCTCTCAAGTGAGCTCCCGGATCAAAGAATGGCACATAACTAATGTAATTCAAATGGGTTATGTACCCTTCTTTGATCCGACACAGCTGCTCAATTCATAAAACTCGGCGCCGAAGCAGTAACTCTCGCGCCAGTCCCATCAAAGGTTATGAATACTTGTATGCCTTGAATTGTATAATAATTAGAGTAAAATTGGATCACGACATATTTTAAAATTATAACAATTGTAAATAAGACACGCAAAAATTAATGATTTTAATAGTAAATTTACTAAAATAGCTTCAAGTGTTTTAAAATTAAAAAAAAAATTAAATCATTTTGTATTTTATATGTAAATGTTTATACTATACTACTTTGTGGTATATATACCTATATATACTTACGGTTTATCAGGTTGTGACCTACGAACCATCTGCTCTGCTTTTTGAATTTCTTCAGCTCTTGTTGCACTTTTTGTCCTTCTTAATCTAACTTTTGTATCATTTTCGTGATCGAACGTCATCTTATCTTATAAAATCCTTAAATCACTCACGCACTATGAGAGAAAAAAGCTGCCGTTTTAGCGGTAAAGCCATGCTACTTTGGTATGAGTAACATTGCCAACAGAAAACTGCTGTTACAGCATTGGAACACTGTTGTTTTAGTATTGTGATACTGCGAACCGCTCTGTATCACAATGCTAAAACAGCAGCATTCCAATACTGAAACAGCAGTTTTCTGTTGTCAGGGTTAAAACAGCAGCTTTTTTCTCTCAGTGTATATATTATAATACCTGCACGTCAACATATATATATATATATACACATGTATTAATGATATTGTGTGCGTGGACTTTGATATTCTTCCCGCTTCAAATTAAAAAAATTATTATATAGACTCAAATATAATTATTAGATAAAAAAAGTCTTGATTAAATTTTTTTTCTTATACGAAAATTTTCTAAAAAAGAAATATGTTTCAAAATTTTTAAAACTTTATATTTGTGTTAAATGAATTTATAAATTTTTCTAATTAAATTAATCTATTTTTCAAAATTAATATCCAACGTCATTAAATTTATTACAAAATCCAAATCTATTTTCATTTGATTAATGGATTTTTAATAAAATTGTAATATTGAAAAAAAAACTAATGTCGAGATTGTCCGCTTCATGTAGAAATAAAATTTAAATATTTTTTTCGCAGGGCTTTGGATCGAATTTAAAGGAAGAAAAAGATCATTTTAGTCGATTTATATTATAAGAAAACCTCCAAAGAAGTCGCTTTTTTATTTTTAAATAAATACAACTAGTTAGTAAATATTTTATAATTATTATTATTATTGAACAATTTTAGAAATTAAATAAATTGCATTAATTTCTTAATAAAAATGTTTCATAGGGATATTTTCAAGAAATTTTATTTACAATATTTCAGAATTAAACAAATTTTCAAGAATTCAATTCAGTATAGGACAAATTTTAAAAAATAATTTAAAATTATTTAAAAAAGAAAAAAATGTTCGAAATATGATTTATACAAATTGTTCGAATTCAGAAGTTTAGAAAATGTTTCAAATAATTAAATTTTCGAAGAACTTCATTAAAATATTATTAAAAAAAAAATGAATTTATAGTAAAATTTTTAGAAATAATTAAAATTTATAAAAATTGCAGCTAAAATTTTTTAGAGAGTTCATGAATTTAAAAATTTTTAGAAATAATTGAATTTCAGGAAATTTTAAATTAAAGCTCATAAATTTTAATTCATGAATTTTTTTTTGTAATTGAATTTAAAAGGACTTTTAAATTGAAAAATATTTTAAATAATGGAATTTTTAAAAGAATTTGATTAAAATTATTAAATATAATTAATTTTGCGAAGAATTCTAGTTAATATTCTTTTGAATAATTCAATTTTTGAAGATATGAATTTTATTCTAAAAAAAGTCGTATTTTCTTTAAAAAAATGTTTTAGAAAAAGTCGAAAGAGTCACATTTTATTAAATTAAGTTGAAAATAGATTCATACATTGAAAAGAGTCGAAAAAGTGTAATTCAAGTTTACGAATTTTGTGTTATTAAACGCGGTTGGAAAAATATTTTTACACGAAATTATTAATTTTTCAGAATCATGAAAAAGTGTAAAAAAAATTATCGATAAAAGATAATTTCAATTTTTCCCAAATTTTAAATTCTATTAAAAAATTTAATAACTCATATAAAATTTGTTCTAAATTTCATAATTATAAATTTCCAATGTTTGAAAATAATATAAATTTTTCAATAAATTTAAATAATTAAATTCCAAACAATAAAATAATAAATCCAAAAATTTACTCCTAAATAAACATAAAATTTGGATAAATTAAAATTTCACTGATCTTTTCGTTAAAAAAAATATTAATTTGACAGAAAATTAAATTGGTAATGATTAATTAACAATTAACAATATAAATAAGTCGTCAGCATTTATATTCAATATTATATAATTTGTGTGTTTACAGAAGTCAATTTACAGTATTTTCTCATTTCTTTGCAATAACTTAATTAGATTTTCTTTATGTATTATGAAATAGTTAAAAAAAAAAAAAATAATTAACTAATTGAAATAAAGAAATTTTTGTTTTTCAAATTTTGTTTTTAAATTTATTATTAAAGTCATTTACATTAAACAAAATTTTGTTTGCCTTACAAACATAACATTCTCTTATAGGTGTTGAACATTATTTACAAAAAATTAAAGCATCTAAAGCAGATGTTTTTCATTTAATAAACATCTATAGTTTTATATTTGCAAAATTTCACAGAAATTGCGCAAATATAATGCAAAAAAGTTTATACTTTTGTGCCAAGGCACCTTGTTCAAAGTCAATTGTCTTTTCTAAGTTTTTTTTTTTTTTTGTAAAAAAGAAACATGCATCTTCTCAGCCCAATTTTTTGTGTGTATCTCTTTTTTTTCTCTATTTAGGTGTAAAGTTAATACCGTTCAAAGGGCTATATTTATTATATTTACATATTTCATATTTTCACATTAAGACATTTTTAAATACGTACATTTTAATTCATTGTCACAAATTATTTCGAAAATTCAGTTTTGATGTTTGAAATTTTAGTTAAAAATTTTGTCTTACAATTTTTGTATTTTTTTGGAATTATTTCAATATTGATTTTTCTTTTTTTTTTTGTATAATAAATTTGCTAAACTAAGTTGTGTTGTTACAGGCTTATTCTATAGCTTTAATATTCAAATTGGCAGTAAGTTTTAAATAAGATTTCTATAAAATATTGTGTGCCAAAAGTTTTCTTTTTTTAAAAAAAGATTATTGCATATATGGAGAGTCATATTAAAATTTACTTCTTTGTTTCGAAATTAATTTTAGAAATAATAGGAAGCCTGCCAAAATTAATTAAAAAGATTGAAACTAGTACGCAACATTCGCTATAATTTTGGCATTGATTGAGATGATGGTGGTGTTGTCAAATTGTGAATACCGTCAAATGATTTTTTTGCAGCACTTTGTAAATCATCCATACTTTGCATTGTTTTTGATGTAAGATCATCAATCTGACGTCGTGTTTGACATAGAAGTTCGTCAGTTGATTTTACAGCACTACTCGCAAAATCTTTTACTTCTGACTCAAGTTTGTCTATCACCCATTCCATAGCCTGTCTTCCCTAAAGAATAATAACAAAAAGTATACTATTAACTATTGGAAAAAATAATAATCAGATGATTTTTGCATTATTAATAGAATGAGTAATTTATTATTAAAAAATTTATTTAAAATTAGATTTGAAAAATTACCTTTCCCGCATTGAAAGAGATTCTTGAAGTCAAGAGATCCTCCATGTAATGCGTTAGAGGAACACCTTGAACTGTAACTACAGCTTCCTGAGTAAGTAGAGTTTTGGTTGTGTCGTGTGGATGAGGTAAATATTTTACGGTTTCGTCAACTGCTATGTAGTTGCAAAATGTTAACTGCAAAAAAAAAACTGAATATTAAAATTCCAAAAAATTTTAATTGTATTTAAATTTAATTTTTAATTAATTTAAATTTAAATCTATTAAAATTTTTTACAATGTATTATGAATTTTCAATGAATGAAAATATTAAAATTCTATTGTACATTATATTTTTTGAAATGAAATTTCATTTCTCTTTTGCAATATTGCAATTAAAATCTTTTTTTCCTACGTCGCTTTTAATAGATTGCATCAATGAAGTGTAACATTTCCGCTTTAAAATTAATGCTTGCGGTATTAGAGAATTTTCGTGAACATTAAAACTTGTGGTCTACATAAAAAAGAACTACATACAAAAATACTATCAATAAGCAAAGCTGACAATATTACCTTATGCAACTCGCATATATGATTGCAAATTTAGTTGATATTAATAAAAATAGATATCATATCTTATCAAACTAAAGTACATATGTAATATTTTTTTCTCTTTCGTTCTACTTAGCTTTGTGAATTTTATTAAATTAATAAAATTACATAATACTTCCTTTTTTCTTTGTATTATAACAGTTAATACAATTTTTTTCGTTTCATTTTTTTTTTTGGAAAATTATGTAAAACGAAAATTATTTTCAATATCGAACTAATATTGCAATTAGTTACGATTTTTTTAATTTTTATTTTAATCACGAATTTGATCATTAATTATTTAAAAATAAATTATCCTGTATAAAGAAAATAAGTGAATTGAATTAATACTTACATTTCTTGTTTTAAGAACCATTTCTCGATTATTGGGATCAACCTCACTTCGTTCGCTGGCATAACATATACTTGCATGTCCAATTAACTGAAAATGAAATTATAATTTCTTTATAACAAGTATTTAATAAATTTTAGTTAAATATTAGCATTTAGCGAGTAAATTTAATTATAAATTATGAGGGATTTTAGGTGAAAAAATATTTTCTCCAATTGTGGTCAAATTTGGATAATTTGTAGTTTTATTGTATAATAACAATTTTTTGTAAAAAAGAATTTTCCATTTGGACAAATATATTCCTTGAAGGAGGGGGGGGGAGGTATTTTGAGGGATGTATGATTATCCCATAAAAATCATTAGTTACAATTTTCATTTTAATAAATTCTATTACATATAATTAATTTTTTTTTGACGAATTTTCATTTTTCCAATTAGTCTTTTTGATTGGTATAGCGTATTTTTGAAAAAGAAAATTTTTTTTTCAAAAATACATTTTACAATCGTAAAGGCATAAAAAAAAGCTATCGAAAGTGATAACGAAAAAATATTTTTGTTACATTATTTAATTGAAGAAATTATGAAAAAAAACGTTTTTTCACCTTGATCACTTCATGTGAAAGTCCCCATATATAATACATATAATTTAAACATAATTATATTTACGTTTTGACGAATTTTTTTTTTTACTCTTTATTCGAATTATTTTTTTTTAAATGTCTCGATCACTCTAATTTAAGAATTTAAAAACGAATGACGTCCTTCAGTTATGTAATTTGATTGAGAAATTTTATTTGGAAAGCATGTGCAGACATTTTTTTATGTTATATGTATATGCAAACGAAATATGTAACAAAAGTGTGTATACATATTTAATATATCTATATATGTAGTTCTGAATTACGTAATATTTAGCAACTTAAATTTTTAATAACTCTGTTCTTGTATTCATTAAAAATCACAAATTTTTTTTCTAAAAATTAAAAATTTAATAAGAAAAAATTTGAATATAAAAGTAATTATTATATTTAATTATAAAATTAAATTTATAAAAATATTTTCCGTTCTAAATAGTTTCTTCTGTCTTTTACACATATAATTGTTTTTAAATAAACAATGCTTTATTGGAATTTAATTTCAAGTGTGAATTTCAATTATTAAATTAGAGTTAGGTTAACCTTTTTTTTGCATATTTATTAACTTCTTAATTATAGAAAATTATAGAATATAAAATTTTAAACATAACCAAAATCAAGAAGTTTTAATAAAATAAAAAATTCAACTTTTAATTAATTGAAATGAATTTTCATAATTAACAACAAAATGAGTATGTTATACTTACAGCTTGTGCCCATCGTGGAAATCCCCATTTACTGGAAACCAGTCGATGTGTATGTAAAACACCATTTACAACTTGTCTATCAATAACGTCAGTGCCAATTACAGCAGGATTTATAGGATTTGGATATTTTCTCCATGCTGCTTGAGCAACAGTTTCCCAAGGATGACTGGAAAGTAACAATACAAATTGTAAAAGAAAGAAGACAATATATTCCCTTAATGAAATTGCCCTTGAGTCAGTACCATAATACTATTGAGGTTAAAGGGGAAGGCATGGCTATAATTTAATTTTTACTTATTAATCTCAATGACATTTAATACAATTAATACATGTGTTAAATAGGAAATTTATCTCAATACTTGAAAATAAAATTAACAATAAATGTAAATTTAAAAAAAAATCCAAGGTGAAAATAATAAACCATTAATTAATGCACATTGCAAGACTCACTTAAATGTGTGTTCTGATGTCCAGATCTTCATAATTTATTAAACTTGTTAAAATTACACTAATCAATCAAATAAAACACAAGTTGGGAAAAAGTTACAAAAGTGCACTGATTTTAAGTGCACTGAGATTCATTAAACGGATAAAGAGAATCTGATTAAATTCGTGAATAACCTGACGTAAGAAGAGAAAATTTTTCTGAATTGCCAGGGATGAATCAGTAATTGTATTAAACGTAATGTAACGTAACTTTGGCAAAGCAGAAACCCCTGTTGTTTCTACTTTCAATCTAAGGGTGCGATCACACCTTTTTTTTGAAAGTCTATTCTTATCTTTCTTTGTCACACAAAAAGGGCATAAGTCTATCTTTCTTTAGTTCAACAACAAATGAATTATTAATAATTAACTGATCTTTTTCTGTTACTTTACAATTTTCCTCGGTAAATTTACAAAGAAAATTGTAAAGTAAGACAGACTTAAGTCATTTTTTTCCTAAAAATATTTGTTGTGTAATAAATTTTATTTTTTATTATTATTATTTTATTTCACCTCATTTTTGGAGGAAATATTTGTCAATTCTCCAATAAAGTAATTGAAATAGATATTCTACATCATTTCGATGACTGCGCCATCTTTGTCTGTGGTTTGTAAAAACTTTATGTCTCACAATCTTTCGTTCTCCAATCTACAAAAGTTTCTGAACCTGTGTATTCAGTCCATGCTTTCAACCATAGACAATTTTCTTTGTCATTTGACAGTTTTAGTTTAATGCAAGGAAAATAAAGATTAAAAAGTTTATTATTCTCCTTTCTTGACATGCTAAAATTCTTAATAAATAAAAAAATTAATATTTCACAACTAGTAAATATTTTTATAAATTTTAGTGAAATGTTTCAATATTCTTCAAATACATTATTAAAAAATACATTAAATCAAAACAAAAGGTATTTTATATGTATGTATTAAGCAAATAAATACAAGTTCTAATATCATCATTTTACATTAAAATGAGTAAGTACTATTTTTTTTTTTAAATACTAATGTAGGAAAATTTTGTTTAAAGTACATAAATCGAAGTTTATTTTTTTCATATTAAAATTAAAGTGAAAATTGTATTTTATAACTGTTAAATAGTATAAATTTGAGATAATTGCATATTTATTCATAATGAAAGTAATTTTTTTTTTAAACTGGTTACATAGTAAGAGAAAGGGATTTGTTTGCATGTTCAGTTTTATATATTTTAAACTATATTGAAAATAGATTTTTGTTGATTAATCACCAATTATTTTTTGTATTTGTAAATTAAATTATTTAAATAATATCTTCTGTCAGCAAAGTGTGTAATTTGTTAATTTACTTTTAAATACCGAATTTTTAAGGTATGATTTCAAACACCTGTTTTCAGCACATGGTGATTGTGCAATCATTTATTGTCAAGCATTCAAATTTTATATAACTTTTCTAATATTCTTGTCAGATGGTAAATTAATATTTTGTCTCGAAATTCTGTTTTCAAATGTTTTTTATTTTCAATAAATTTTAGAATATTAAATTTTTTTTTTCATAAAATATTTATCTATGTAATTTCAGTGCTATTTTGAAATTAATTTTCTATTCAAGAAAGTGTGGGTGGTTATTCTAAAGCTTATTGAGGCCACACATTGTATAAAGTGTTAATTTTATATTCATATCGTTTTATTTTACGCAGGAACATTCGACGTGCACATCCTGTCGATTTTATTTCCTACTTTTGCGATGAGAAATAAAGACTTTATTTATTTTTTAATAGCATTTATGCATATACTCATTTTTACTGAGGGAAACTATTTAAATATTAATTTACCCGCGAACCATCTTCAGTATTATTTCAATTTTTTTCCTGCGGAGGCGAAAAAATGTCTTGATGATGCATCATGTCCATACAAGGTAAGAAGACTCTTTCTAATTAAATTATTAGTACAAAAAAATAGAATTCCAATTTATTTAGCAATATTCTTAAAAATATTAATAAATATTTGAAATTTTTGTTAAATACGTTTTATTTTTGATAATATAGGATAAATTGAATACCAAAGATTGTTGGGGATATGAATCATCTTGTGAAACTGAGAATTCTTTTTCTATTCCGCATTGTCCTGGTGAACATAATGGATGGGTTGCCACTAAAAATGCTCAATTAGAAACATTTTATGCTCAAGGTGATTTTGGCTATGTGAGAGATCAGAGACGTGAAATGATGATTTTTTGTGAACCTCTTTTTGTGGTAATTAAAATTTTTAATATAAAATCTTTTTTTTCAAAATAAACAAAATTTCATATAAAAATTATTAAAAATTTTTTTTAGGATGATTCTTCACTAGAATGTACAGAACATATGCGTTTTTGTAGAGGTCGAAATATAATGATAAATTTTACCGATTTGATACACAGAACAGATCCTATTAGATATAAAATGGATGTTTTAAAAGAAGGACAAATTGGTGGTTATTGCAAGTAAGTAAAAGTTTTACATATCATTTTTTTTTTTAATGTAGGAAATAAAAACACTTTATAAATTAATAACTGATAAAATTCTCAATTTATAATTTTATTAACGTACTTCCAATTTTGATATGAAAATCATTTTTTGGTAATTTAATTTTTTTAATTGAGTAATTAAAAAAATAAGAAAAAACAATTATTTTTTAACGTTTCGGAGTTAAATTTTTCATTAAAATTGTTCTCTAAATTAATTTATTTTTAATGAAATTTTACTCAAATTCAATTATCTTAAATTACTTTAAAAAATTTAAATTTTATAAAATTCAACAATTGTTTACAATTTTTAAAAAAAATCAAATAAAATGACAAAAAATTTTATTTTATTTAAAAAATTTAATTATTTTCAAAAATTTTCCATATAAAAATTTTTGAAATTTAATAATTTGAATTATAATTCTTCCGAAATTCAATTATTTTTAATGATTTTTTGTAATATTCTTCGAAAATTCAATTATCTAAAAGCATTTTTCAAATAAAAAAAATAAATTTCAATTTTTGTCTTCAATTTTTAATAAATTTTTCAACAACAGAAATCACCAAAAATTTCTATTAAAAATCACTTGAAGTTCCATTAATTTCAAAAATGTGAATTATAAATCATTGAAAATTCAATAACTTTTAAAAAATGTTATCTAAAATTAATTGATAAATTATTTTTAATTCTATAAAATTTAATTATTGTATTAAATTTAACAAAATCTTTTGAAATTTAATTATTTCCAAAAATTTTCAACTATAACTCTTCCAAAGTTGAATTATTTTTAATAATTTTAATAGTTCATGAAAAATTCAATTATTTAAAAAAGTTTTAAATAAAAACTCTAAAATTGAATTGTTGTTAGAATTTTTTTGTTTAGAAATTTGTTCTACTTAATTAAAATTTTTAAAATTTACATCTTCGATTTTGAAATATTTGAAATAAATTTTCTTGATAGTATTCCTATTGAATTATTATTATTATTAAGGAATTAATAAAATGGATTTAAAATCTAATAACATTAATTATTAATTATTTTGGACTTTAAATCGACTAACATGACTTTTTTGCGCCTTAAAATCGATCCTAGAAATAATAAATTCTTAAAAAGGATTTGATTATACTCCAAAACGTTAAAAAATGATTATGATTTTTTATTATTTTTTTTAAATAAAAAAATCAAACTGCCCTTGGTGATAGGAAAACTGATTTTTATGGTAAAATTTTGCTCGTAGATTAAATCGAAAAAGATTGGAAGATAATGCAGACCACATTAGTCCTTTACAATCTTGGGGACCTGAAATACAAAATTTTCGAAGTTTACCTCATAGACCAATTAACGAAGGCGATTGTGATGTAGTTGTAGAGAAACCTACTTATATAATGAAAATTGATGCTAGTGAGTGGTAAATTTTATAAATTTATTATTAATTATTTGTTTCATTAAATATTATTATTTTCCATGTTGTCTTACAGCGGTAAACATGTATCATCATTTTTGCGATTTTTTTAATTTGTACGTATCGCTACATGTAAATCAAACCCACCCAGCAGCATTTACACGAGATAATCATATTTTGATTTGGGAAAGTTATAGGTATAAGTTTGTAATTATTTATTCTTATTACTATTCATAACAAGATTATATACAAATGTAAACTAATCAACTTTCACCTGTTAATTTCGTTTATTATCTTGTTTATTCCAGTTACCGTTCAATATTTCAAGATACATTTAAGGCATTCACAAAAAATCCACTTTGGGATTTAAAAACATTTAAAGGAGAAACTGTTTGCTTTAAAAATGTAGTTTTTCCATTATTGCCTAGAATGATTTTTGGATTGTATTACAACACTCCTCTTGTAAGTAATTAAATTTTCTTTTTTTGTTTTTTGCTATTTTGTATTTTCAAAAAAATAATTTCTGTGACCATTTGTGCTGCAAAATACTGAAAAAAAAATAAATAAGACTCGAATTTAAAAAAAAAACATTTCTAAGCTCAAAAATACCACTTATATGTAATTTAAAAAACACAATTGTTCAGAAAACGAACAAAAAGATTTTCAAAATCTTAAAAAAAAATTATTCAAAATAATTTAGATTTTTTCCAACTTTATTAACACAGAAATATTCAAAAATTATTATTTTTCAAAACCAAATTTTGTGCTACATTGTGCCAGTTGAACAAAAAGAAAACCATTGTAACATTTAAGAAAAAATAAAAATTTTTAAAAGAATGATTGAAAAATAATAATTTTTGAAAATATTTGGATAATTTTTTTTTTTAATTTTAAAATTGAATTATTTAAAAAAATTTAATTGTTTCTTTTTGTGCTAGACTATCACAATTTAGCACAAAATTTGTTTTTGAAAAATAATTAGATGAAAAAGTTGAACAAAATTTTTGAATTATTTTGAATAATTTATTTTAAATGATTTTGAAAATTGGTATTTTTGGCATTTTTGAGTTTAAAAAGGATTTTCTTTTAAATTTAAGTCCTAATTATTATTTTTTCAAAAGAAAGCAACACTTAATATAAATTGGAAAAATAATCAGTTTTTTTTAATGGCGTTGCTCGCTTTTCACAGGTGAGTAAGTTACAATAATTTGTTGTATTTGTGTTTAGATCTATGGCTGTGAAAATAGTGGTCTTTTTAAAGCATTTGCTGATCACGTAATGCATCATTTGAATATTGATTTGCATGAAAGAAAAAATGCAAAAATACGTGTCACTTTACTTTCTAGAGATACTCAATATAGAAGAATTTTAAATGAAGATGATTTAATAAAAGCTTTAATAAAAAATCCAAATTATGATGTAAAAAAGGTAAGAGAACTTTTCAGAAATAAATTCTAATTCTTATGTTTCTATTTAGTATAATTTTTGTGTATTAGAATACTTTATATCTCATTTTAGGTTGTTTACAACAAAAATTTACCATTTCAAACACAATTGGAAATTTCAAGAAATTCTGATATTTTTATTGGTATTCATGGTGCTGGTTTGACGCATCTTTTATTTTTGCCAGACTGGGCATCTGTTTTTGAATTGTAAGTTATTACAATGAAAATGGTAAAAAAATTATTTTTTATCATTTTTTGGTATAAATTTTTTAAATTGTTATGGTTCATGAAATTTTGTTGTTTTAGATATAACTGTGAAGACTCCAGTTGTTATAAAGATTTAGCGCGCTTACGTGGTGTAAAATATTTTACGTGGACAGATCCAGAAAAATTAATTCAAGAAGATCCGGTATGTTATTAAATAAATATATTTTACAGTCTGCATGAAAGTTTTATTCAAAAAATTTTTTTTTCGATTTCTACATGAAAAGTAAAAAAAAATATGTATTTTTTGTTTTATTATTTGGTAAAATTTATAGAAGTTTCGATTTATTTTAATTCAACGTCTTCAAAGGCAAAGAATTTGGATTTTTATTTTTGAATTTTTATTTTAAAAAATTTTATTGGAAATAATTATTTTTTTAGACAAATTTTCAATTTTTTAATTAAAATATCACAGATTTTCTTTTTATACAAATTTTTACGTAACAAAATTTTTAGCTGCCGAATTATTTCCAATTCACCGAATTTTAATTTGTCCGAATTTTGAATTGTACGAACTTTTAATTGATAGAATTTTTAATATGCCGAATTTTCATTTTTCCGAAATAACAATTCGCCAAACAAACAATTAATAGAAAGATTTCGGCACAATTTTTAAAATTGACCAATTTGAAATTATCAAGAAAAAAAATTTTTTGTATAAAAAGAATCATGATTGGTTAATTTACAAAAATTGCGCCAAAATCTTTCTGTCGATTGTTTGTTCGGCCATTTGTAATTTCGGAAAAATAAAAATTCGGCTTCTTAAAAATTTTATATATACTACAAATTCGTACAAATAAAAATTCGAACAAATTATAATATTCGGTAAATTGGAATATCTATCAATTAAAAATTCGAATCACATAAAATTCAATTGAATGTGAATTCTGTTAAATTAAAATTTGCATAAATTAAAATTCTTTTTAATAAAAAAAAGTAATGAAAATTAAATGACTAAAATAAAAATTCTAATTATTGATTTTTATGGGATAATCATGCGCCCCGTATTTTCTTATAGAATTTGAAAAAAGTTGTATTAAAAAAATGTCCCAATTATAAAAAAATATTATTTAATAATAATGATAATAATAATTTCCTTGTACTTTTTACAGGGTACTCATCCAAATGGTGGGGCACATGCAAAATTTACCAACTACAGTTTTGATGTGAAAGAATTTTTACGAATAGTTTCTCTTGCTGAGAAACATGTAAAAAATCAAAAAAGTTTCCAAGAATATATTAAGAATCGACATAATAAAGGTGAGGAAGAAACATTATCCAAAGATGAACTTTAATTTTATTTTATAATATAAGTTGAAGAGAAAATGCATTTATTTTAAATTCACTTTTTCATTATTTTGATAAAAGTGTTTACAAACTCTGATCTTAAATTTTGTGATATCAAATTTAATCAAATTAAGATTTTTTTTTTAAACATTATAATATGTAAATTATTTAATATAATGTGTCGAAAATTTATTCTCTCATATAAAAAATTGACATGATTCCCTCAACAAAACATGTTACCGTTCTTCAGGACTATTGTAATTGTATAATTTTTAACAGTATTGTCATTTTTAAATAAATTTATAATATTTATTTTTAAAAATATTTCAAAATTATTTATAAAAAAAAATTCGATGGTTTTTACAATTATAATTTTATTTGAAATTTTAATCTGTAACAAACCACAGCAAATGATATACTAATTGCCATATAAACTATAAGAATATTTAGAGCTGAGGTGTTATTAGTATTCAGTGTTTTAATAGACATATTTATAGTTCCTGTTAAAAGATTAGCAACCAGAAAGAATGCTAAACCATTATAATTAACGGCTTCGAAAATTTCGAAAGTTTCACTAACAGATTGTGTAGAAATTTGTTCTTTTAGTTTTTGTGCTTTTGTTTTGATTTTTATATCGGAGGACGTTTGATTTGTTTCATGTCGAATAAATATATCAATAACAATGTCAACTAATAAAAGTAATGTTAATAATGTTGTGCTGAGAGTAAGAATCCAAGCACAATAGCCACTATTGGTAAGTCGTCTTGAAACTGAGAAATATTTATCACAAATTAGAGTAACGCCAAAAGCATGAGAAGCTATTAAACATAGTTTTATACATAGTATCATTGATTGATTATAAGCCACTGTAATGTTATGTCTTAAAAGTTTTATTTCTAAAACAGATTGCTCTTGGGATTTTTTGGAATTAGTTCTCAAATTTTGATAAGATGAATGAATAACCGATCCAATTGACACAGCAATCAAATAAAGTCCAATGTAACCAGGAAGTGAAACAAGACCTTCACGATTTGCCGATATAAAATCAATTCTAGAGCCTTCACTTAAAATCCATTTCTTTAAATTTTTTCCACTTAAACCATATTCATACATTATTAGTAACCAAATTCCAGATGAAAGTGAATATTTACGAGTTATAGTTTTGGGAATTATACTTATGAACAATTTGACAAATGCCAATGTTATAAAAAAGTTCCAATGCACTCCATACTCGGTAATGTGTTTTTGATATCCTAAATATTCAATAGAAATAAAGCGCGCAAATCCTAGTACTAACAGAGGAATGCAGCTTTTAATGGACTTTAGCATTTCAGGCAATATCAATTTTTTATCTATTATTTTGTTTCTTGCCTCAGGTGCAACTAGAGCATTGGCTATGATAAAAAGTCCTACACCAGTGTCCATTAAACTATATCCATAAATTTCAGTTTTCGCAAATTTACGTGGAAACACTTTAAAATCTACTGCAAGAATGCATACAACTGTTACAATATTAACCAATGCTCTAAAATTTGTTACAAAAGTCAGTCTTTTAGATTGAGAAACTACAAAATTGCCCATTAATGGCGTTGATTTTTTTACAATTATAAAAATAAATATTAATGAAAATATAAGCATAGAAGCACAAACATGAATTAAATATTCAGATAATACAGTACAGCACAAAATACATGGAACTATCGTCAATGAAAATTCAATAATTATTCGAATATTTGAACTTAATTTTTGTTTAAATAAAGCCAAAATCGATGTAGTAAGTAGAATGCTACAAATATTTGGTAATAATACGAAAATAACTTCTCTAGGCGTTGTTCCCATATGATTGGAAACAAATTTTTCCTGCTGTTGTCGATAGTGTTCATAGTCCGATGAAGTCATATTTCCTATAAAATATTTAAAAATATATTAATACTGATTTAAATAATTATAAAATATTTCTTCATTACCTGTTTAATAAAATATTTTAATTTCGATAAATTTGTTAATATCTGCTTCTAGAGGAAGTATTTTATATTTAATTAAAATTCTATTTTATTTCTATTTTTTAATTCTTTTTAACTTTTTATTCTTTACATATTTATATAGTAACTTTTTTTTAATTCCATAAATTTTTTTAATACAAAATTATGTGCACGACACGTGCATTCTGTCATAACATTATTTTTGTATATATATGATTGTAAACATATGTTTTTAGCTGGAAAAGAAGGATACTATTTTACCGACAATTGATTACGTAGCAGTCTGTTTTGTATGATAATTTCGTTTTTCTTCTAAAGATGCATTAGATTTCTACATTATCGATCATTGATTAGTTGTACCGACAAGAAACTTTGAAATATTTAATACCATGCGCTGTGTACCTATTCCTATAAAGTCTACACATCAGTCGTTACATTTTTGTAAAAAAGGTAAAATAATTAATGAAATTTTTTTTTTCTATTTTATTCATTTCAATACGGAGAAAACTGGTGTTAAAATTATAATATTAAAAATTTATTTAATCAAACTAATCTTTTTAATAATAATAGTTACACCCTATACTATATTTTTTTTCTTTGTGAATGAAATACACACTATTTTCATTATTTGTTTTACACTCCGGGAAATTTAAAATAATTATTGTTAGTAATACGATCAAGAACAACAAAAAAATTAATATCGATAAATAAACTTGATATTCAAAAATTATAGGTTTTCTTACTTATAAAAATTTTAAATTTATAAAAATCATTGTTTACTTTTTTATTATTTTCAATTTCTTCTAGAGAGATACAAAATTTACAGAATTTAAAAGTATTACAGTGATTTATAAAAAATTATTAAAATCAATTATTTTTATCTTTTTGATAAGTTCAAACAAATTCCATTGAATTAAAATAATTTTTTTTTATTTTTAAATTTGTTGAATTTTTAAAGGTTAGTTAACCGAATAATTTTATTTCTCCTTGAAAAAAATTCTTACAATTACATATTAAAATTTACAGAGTTTAATACCACAATTTCCCGCGATTGGCGCAAGTGTAATTATAGATTGATGAAAACTTGAGAACCGCGAATACCGAAAACGGTGCAAAAATGAGCCATTGTTTATAAAAATTGGATAAAAATTAGAATTGTTCAATAACTTTTAAGAAAAAATAAAAAAAAATGTTTATTAATTATTATTTAACAACAAATTTTAACTCAAAATAATTTTTTGCCAAAATTGTACAATTTTGGATCTGTCGGATTTGGGTGTAATAAATTTTAAATATATTTTTAGTTCTGTTAAAAACTACTTTTTGTTTGAGGTTATGTTAATGGGTTGAACTTAAACCTTCTTAAATAGTTTAATTATTTTTTCTTCGAAAAAATTTTCTTTTTACGAATTATTTTTATTAAGATAGCTGACTAATTTTTAAAACTTCTTAATTACTGAACATTTAAAAACCATAATATGAATAAATGAAAAATGTTCTAATTTATTTATTATAATATATTATTTATATATTTTTAATCGTTTAAATTAAATTTTTCTGCGATTAAACATTTTTTTTAAAAAAAAATTGAATAAAACCGCTAAAAAATTGTATTTCTACAACGTTTACTCTTGTAGCAAAGAAAAAAAAAATTAAATTTTGTCGACCAGTATAATATGCCAATGATATATAATTTTTTTATTACGTTGAAAACTTATAAAAATTCTATAAGCTTTATATCAAGTTGGTATACCCTGTTTTTTCTCAATAGTGCAGGTTTTCTTCATATTTCTTTTTTTTTACAAAAAACAAATACGTCTTATTTGCTTTAAGTCAGCAACTTAGGCTTACAATGTTTTCTTTTTTACTAAGGAAATTATCTATCTATATGTAGGCGTCTGCGGAAAATCAAGAGATCAAAATGATTTCTAAACCTACATTGTCAGTATTGTCACCGGAATCGCCCGACGCTGTGGCGCCTTGCGCCAACGCGGAATATCTTTGTTGATATTAGAACATAAATATGTAATACTTAAATGCTATAACAAAAGAAGCCAGTTGGGGTATAACAGAATAGCAAAATTTTATCAAGAATTTAGAAAACAAATAATGTAATCATATTAAAATATCAATTATTTAGAAATAATATCGATAGAATCCGATAAAATCTTATAGACTGAGAAAAATATGCTATTAAATCAAGAGCATTTTTGACAAAGGTATAAAAATTATTGATTCGAAAGCATATTTTTCTCAGTGTATAAGATTTTAGAGATTCTATATAGCATATGCTTTTGAATCAATAATTTTTATATACCTTTGGCAGAAATGCTATTGATTCAATAGTATATTTTTCTCAGTGTAGAATCTCACTGTAAACTTGGAAATGCAACGTTTTGATTCGATATAAGGTATCAAATTGATCCAAATATTTGAATCATTTTCAAGAAATGATCCAGAATATGGGATCATTTTTTGATACCTGAATTGGTATCAAAGTATAACTGTCATGGCTGACATGCTCTTATTGACAAGTTTATTAATTAATTTATTCACTACACTGATGAATATTCAGATATTAAAAATACTTTTATTATGAATTTTAAGAAAGAGAGAAGCGAAAACTTATAAATTGCGAGCAATTAAATAAGAAAAAATTTATTTCGAAATAAAATGAAATACACTAACCTTTATTTATGTTTATCACATAAGATTTAAGTTAATTTCACAATCACAACACTTGAAAATTTTTAATTATTTTTGTGGTTCAAATAATTATCAATAATTTATTTATTATAAATAAACAAAATTTAAATCAATTAATGTTAATGCAATTAATAATTTCCTATTACACAATATCATAATCGACATATATGACATTTGTAAACAAACAAGGTTGGGAAACAAGAGCCCAAAATATGTTCGTCCAAAGCAGAGTTGGATAGGATTGAAATTCGCATTGGACGAATATATTTTGGGCTCTTGTTTCCCAACCCTGTTTGTTTACAAATGTCATATATGTCGATTATGATATTGTGTAATAGAAAATTATTAATTGCATTAATTGACAACGCATTAGAAATATTTATCAAGCGTGCATTGCTTAAATTTTGTTCATTTATAATATATAAATTATTGATAATTATTTGAACCACAAAAATAATTAAAAATTTTCAAGTGTTGTGATTGTGAACTTAACTTAAATCTTATGTGATAAACATAAATAAAGGTTAGTGTATTTCATTTTATTTCGAAATAAATTTTTTCTTATTTAATTGCTCGCAATTTATAAGTTTTCGCTTCTTTCTTTCTTAAAATTCATAATAAAAATATTTTTAATATCTGAATATTCAGTGTAGTGAATAAATTAATTAATAAACTCGTCAATAAGAGCATGCCAGCCATGACAGTTATACTTTGATACCATATTTCAGTTATCAAAAAATGATCCTATATTCTGGTTCATTTCTTGAAAATGATCCAAATATTTGGATCAATTTGATACCTTATATCGAATCAAAACGTTGCATGAGTTGATCTTAATTCTTGTATCAATTTGATACACAAAAGAAAACTGTGAGCTGCTAAAAAAAACTAATTCAATCCATTTAAAAAATGTAATTAAATATAATTGAGTCAATTAGATCGAATATATAAAGAAAAATCTGGATTTTAATTCTCCTGAAGATGATATTTATTATTATATTTAATTTTACCAAGTATAATTAAATTCGAAAAACCAATTGCAGATCCTGATATTTCTGATATGGACTTACCATAATGCTAAACGAATTTTAGAATTAAGTGGAATTCATTTCGTTGGCCATCTCTATTATTTCGATGACTTCGAAAAAGTGGAAAAATCAGGTATTAAATGGAATTAAAATTTTTCAATTTCGTATACAAATATGAGATAATTTTAATATAGGCTTCTTGACGGATAGTGAGTTTTTTCATTGAAATATTATAAAAAATTCAGTAATTTTGTTTTTTGCTTATAAATATTTAAAAGTTAACATATTCATTAAATATTATATATTTACAGTTTTGAATTTATTGTACTGTAAATATGGTTCAACCGTTATCGGTTTCATCGGAACCAAATTCTTCGCCGAGTCAGGTGTATAAATAATCTCTGCATTATTTGCAACAGATGCACAGGTGCATTGCAATTGCAGGTGCGCAGAAATCGACTATATCAGAATTCTCTTGTTTCTACATATATGGGTATAGTTGTATATATATAGGTATATATATATATGTATATAGTTAAAGAAAGTGTTATATATGAATATTCTATTTAAAAAAAAGGAGCTAAAATTTATTATTGTATATAAAAAAAAAGTAAAATACGACAAACAATTATAAGATTTACACTTTCAAAAATGACGCAAATTCGTGAGCACTCGAATACATGTTCGGTATATAAGTAAGTTTATGTCCTGCTGGCTGCTGTTTCAATAACTATAATTCTTTCTTCAAGATTCCTCTTGGACAGATATTACTTTTCAGTAACATGTTTCAATTTCAAAATATAATTTATGATAACTATTTTATAAATTTGATTGTGAGATTTTTAATTTAGATTTATTGACTTTTTTCATTGATTCAATTTTCATTTTTTAAAATATTTTATTCACACTTTCATTTTGTGGAATCAAGAAAAATAATTCGATGACGAAGGATTCAGTTTGCGAATGCTATACGTGTAGAGCGCAGAGAAAGGGACTGAGAAAGAGATAGAAGCAGGAAAAATGATTTCCGGGTATGATGCCCTAAAGGATTTGACCCAGGTCTCGCCATCTTTCTCTCTCTTTTATATTCTCTTGTTTAAAACGGACATTTAGATCCATTCCCGAACAGTTACTAAAAATGGCCGTAGGTTATATAAACATACACGAGCTATGAGAAAACTTTTTGAGATTTAAAAAAGAAATAAAAAAAAATAGTTAAAAAGATCCCACATATACAGCTTATTTTCTGTTTTTACGGCATCTTGTCACAGGTCCTCAAAAGTTCACACGCGAACGATCTCAACGAAGCAAGTACAGGTATATAGGACTTGTTCGCGTGACAACTATTCATCTCTTTTATACACAAGTTCTAGCTATTTTATAAAATTCTTTGTGATTAGTACGAGATAGAGATTTACTGTGGGCAAATGGATATCTTCTTTTTCTTCACTGCTACATTTTATAGTATTTTTCTATATATAA